ACACCACCAAGAGTTGGTTCTTTGAAAAGATCAACAAAATTGATAAACCTTTTTAAGCTACACTAGCCAAGAAAAAAAAAAAAAAAGACTCAAATCACTAAAATACAGAATGAAATTGGAGGGACAACTACTGGCATTAAGATACGAAAAAGGATTATAAAGGAATACTATGAGCAATTGTATATCAACAAGTTAAGATAACCTAGGTGAAATGAACAAATTCCTAGAAAGACACAAATTACTGAAACTGACTCAAGAAGAAATAAAAAATTGAATAGATCTATAACAAGTAAAGAGGTTAAATTAGTAATAAAAAAAAAAAAAAAAAACTCACAACGAGAAGCCCAGGCCCAGATGGCTTCACTGGTGAATGCTACTAAATATTTAAAGAATTTAAAAACCTACTCTTTACAAATTATTCTAAAAAATAAATGAGAAGGGAATTCTTCCTAACTCATTCTATGAGGCCAGTATTACCTTAATCCAAAAAACAGACAAAGAAATCACAAGAAAAAACAAAAACAAAAACACTACAGACCAACATCCTTTATCAATGGAGATGTAAAAATCTTCAACAAAATACTAGCAAATAGAATATAGTAACAGATAAAAAGCATTATACACCATGACAAAGTGGGATTTATCCCAGGAATGCAAAGTTGATTTCACACATAAAAATCAGTCAATGTGATATTATACCATACTAATAGAACAAAGGACAAAAACCACATGGTCACCTCAACAGATGCCAAAAAAACATTTGGCAAAATCTGACACCATATCATGTCAAAAATACTCAACAAATAGGAATAGAAGGGAATTTCCTCAAGATGATAAAGGCCATCTATCAAAAGCATACAGCACACTTAAAGGTGAAAGACTGAAATCTTTCCCCCAAGATTGGGAACAAGACAGGAATATTCACTCTTTGCCACGTTTATTCAACATTGTACTAAAGGTTCTAAGAAAGAGAAATTAGAAAGGAAAAAGAAATAAAAGGATTCCAGACTAGAAAGAAAGAAAAGCATCTATTTTTAAATGACATGATCTTGCATATGTAAAATCCTAAGGAATCTAAAAAAAAAATTTAGAGCTAGTAAGTTCAGCAAAGTTCCAGGATGCAAAATCAATACACATTATCTAACTTGTCTGAGAAAAAAAGAAAACTATATATACACAAATATCAGTTGTATTTCTATATATACTTGCAATGAACAATTCAAACATGAAATTTAGAAAACAATTCCATTTATAATAGTATCAAGAAGAATATGATATTTAGGCATAAATGTAACAAAAGAAGTCTAACATTTATACATTAAAATGACAAAATATTATTGAAATAAATTAAAGAAGACCTAAATATATGGAAAAGATATCCCAGTTTCATGGATCAGAGGACTTAGTATTGTTAAGATGGCAATTCTTCCCAAATTAATTATAGATTTGATGCAATCCCTATCAAAATTACAGTTGTCCTTTCGGCAGAAATCGATAAGCCAATCCTAAAATTCATATGTAAACACAAAGGACCCAGAATAGCCAAAACAATTTTGCAGAAGAAGAGTAAAGTTGAAGGATTCACACTTCCTGATTGTAAAACTTACTATAAAGCTACAATAATCAAGACTGTATGGTACTAGCATAAGGATAGACATATAGACCAACAGAATAAATGGAGAGGCCAGAAATAAACCCATTCACTTAAGATCAACTGATTTTCAACAAGGGCGTCAAGACAATTAAATAAGTGAAAGAATATTTTGTTTAAAAACAAATGGTGCTAGGACAACTGGATAGCCACATGCAAAAGCATGATTTTGTAACATGACCTCACATGATATACAAAAAGTATCTCAAAATAAATTGAAGACCTACATGTAAAAGCCAAAATAAAAAGTCGATTTTTCTCTCCTGGAAGAAAACATGAGTAAATCTTTGTGACCTCAGATTAGTTGATAGTTTCTTAGATATGACACTTAAAGCACAAAGATCCAAACTAAAAAATAGATACATTGACTTCATCAAAATTAAAAACTTACATTTTGCAAAATGATTTCGTCATGAAAGTGGAAAGACAACTTACAGAATTGGAGAAAATATTTGCAAGTCAAACCCAATAAGGGTCCAGTATGCACAATATATTTTTAAAACTTGTAATATGCAGCAATAAAAGGCAAAAACTCCAATTAAAAAATGGGCATATAATTTGAATAGACATTCTCCAAGAAGATATACTAGTGTCCAGTAAGCTCATGAAAAGATGCTCAACATCATTAGTTACTAAGGAAATATAAATCAACATCATAAGATACCACTTCATACCCACTAGGATAGCTATAATAAAAAAGACAAACAAAAGCAAGTGTTGGCTAGGCTACGGAAATTGCTGGTGAAAATGTAAAATGGTACAGAGGCTTTGGAGAACAGTTTGACAGTTCCTCAAAAAGTTAAACACAGAATTTCTGTATGACCTGGAAATTCCTGGAAATGCCAAGATAGGTATATACTCAAGAGAATTAAAAGCCTATGTTCACACGAAAACTTATACATGAATGTTTACCATAGCATTATTTATAACAATAGTTAAAAACTGGAAACAACCTAAGTGTCCACCAACTGATGAACAGATAAATAAAATGTGGCATCATGTGCCACAATGTGGTACAATGGAATGTTACCTGGCCATAAAGAGTAACCCTACACCATAAATAAACCATGAAAACATTATGCTAACTGAAAGAAAAAGCCATGTATAATAATTCCATTTATATGAAATGTCCAGAATAGGCCAATCTTTAAAGACAGTTAGTGGTTACAAAGATTCGGGGAAAGAGGAAATGGGGAGTGACTCCTAATGGGACCAGAGTTCCTTTCTGGGGTGATAAAAATGTTCTGGAATTAGATAGTGGTGATGATTGTACAGTCTTACAAATATACTATAAAGCACTGAATTGTATACCTTAAAAGGGTGAATTTTTTCTCAATAAAAAAAGTGCCAAAAGGGAATGCCAAAAAAAAAAAAAAAAAAAAAAGGATGAAGTACTGCAGGGTGTTATTACCTATCACCACCATTTGTGGGAAAGAAGGTTGCAGTAACTATATACTATTGCTTACATGTGCACAGAATAATTTTGCTAGGGTACACAAGGAAGTGGTAACACTGATTATCTCTGGGGAGGGCAACTGGTGTCTGGAAGACATAGATGGGAAAGAGTTTTTCACTGTTATACACTTGTTTCTTTTGAATTTTCTACCACATAAATGTAACATCTACTTTTAAATATAAAAGCTGAACCAATAATAATAGCTACCAGTCACTGAGTGCTTACTATATGCCAGGTGCTTTATAATCATTTAATCTTCACATTGACAGTCTTTTGTCCTATTTTTAGGACAAGAGGATATTTTATCTCCATCTACAGAAAAGGAAACTGAGGCATATAGAAGGATAAATTATATGCCCAAATGAATGCAGCTAATAAGCAGCAGAGTTAGAATTTCAACCGAGCCTATCTGGTTCCAGAGTCCTCGTCTGGATTGCTACTCTATATTACCTCCCAGAAATTTAAAGGAATGAGGGAGGAGGACAGAAAGTGGGTGAGAAGAAGAAAGGAAGGAGTAAGATGGGAGGAATGCTAGGGGGAAGATGAAGGGAATAGAGGGACAGGAAAAAGAAAGGTAGCAAGAGGGAGAAAAGTGGAAGGAGGAAATGTATAGATTAGATTGCATGATTTAAAGGGTAAGTGCAGGCCTCCCTTTCATAAACGTCTCCCTTCCTGTCCTTAAAGTTCTGATCTTGGCCATTTGAAGAGAATAGTAAAGACTGGGTACAGGAAAGCCTAGTTCCCATGAAAGCCTGCATAGCCTAGCATAATCTCTGGAATCAAATCTGAGTTAGAAGCTCAGCTCTATCATTTTGTGGCTATGTTTGTTGGGGTAAACTCTTTCTAGGCTTCCATTTCTTCATCTGTAATATGGGATAATAATAGTACTTGACTCACAGAATTGATATAGGATTTAAACAATGTATTTCAAGCACAAGTAAGTAAATAACGAATTGCAGCCATCATAACATTAGCAAATTCACTCTATGGACACTAGATGATTGAGTTACAAAGTGTAAGAAATCAATGGGAAGATCATACTCAGTGGAAGAAACACCATCAAATAGATAAAGGCCAAAGATGGCAACTCCAAAGAGAAGAAAAAGGGAGAAAGCTAAAGTTACACATACTTCGGCAACTTCGCAATTTTACCTGGGAATGGCCAAATCACACAGCACAAAGGAGAAATGGATTCCCACAACCCTTTGTACCTCTCAAAAGACTCCTTGACTTCTTAGGAGCCCATCACCAAATCTGTGCCAAAAGAGGGCAACACGAAGGCACTCGCACTACCAGCCCTCCTTAAGTAATGGCAATTTCTTTATTAGGGTCATAGTTTTTCATCTGCTAATGGATCTCAAGTTACAAAAGATGGAATCAGTTCATCTTAAAGCCTTCCAGGCCTCCTGTCTACTCCTGGTTTTAACTTCTGGTAGAGTTGTGCTAATGACTTTTAAGAGTTAAAAAAAATCTAAGTGGCACGTTTTAGAAAAAAATAGTCTTTTATTTTGATAAACATATAGATAGCAGTAACTATAAAGGCTGGTATACTTAATATGTACACTATATATTTAAAAGGAGAATCTGGGGCATTTCCTTGTGTTATATACAATAAGAGAATCATGGTCCCTTCAGGTTATTGTTCTTTTAACACATACATCTTGAGTTTCTTCTGCATCCTTGTTCTCCTTGACATCAGCCACTCTGTTAAATCCTGAAAGAAGGAACATAAAGAATGTGATAAATACAAAGAATGTCCTCAGCAATTACAAAGTTAATAGCGGCCCTGGGAAAGAAGGAGATTTGCAGGGCTCTGAGGAAAGGAACTATATTCTTTCCTCTCCTTTTCTTGCCTAATGTTATCATTCACCTTCACAGACATTACATTGTGACTTCTAAGACCTTTTTCTCTCCTTAGTGACCATCCAGTTATTCCAAGGAAACAACCTAATTGCTTTGGCTAAAAGCAAGGAAGAACTTTCTATGCCTAAGGGTTACCAATACTGAAACAAAGAGCTGAGAGAAGCTGAAGAAATTGCTGTTTAACAATAGAAGGGATTCCTATCTGTCCAGGCAGGGCCTAGCATTAGGAAGAGGATTATACTTACCTCTGGAGCAAGGACTAACTCCTTACATCTGTGTGTCCCTTTTTACTTCAGAAGTGCAGCCTTTGACTGCTCATGAGTAAGAATCTGAGACTGTCTTTATGTCTCTCACACAAGGGTTCCAGGAAGAAATGCTTACTCTGTATTCCTAAATTTCTTTTCTAAGAGTTATTTTCCTGCAGAAATTCTCCTTTTATCCAAATCCTGGTCAAGCAAGTGTCAAAAGGTCTGATGCTGTTAGTCAGGGACATGAATTCTGTCTTTTCACATCTCATTACAGAGGCCTTAAGCTCAGATACCCACTGGTGATAGACAGGGCAGGTCACACATCGAGAGAAGAACTCCTTAAAGTACTGAAAGGAAAGGAAGGTCCATTAGCTCTGGGATTAGTGCATCATTCTCCTAACATGCCACTTCATCAGAACTTACAAAGGTCCTCATTCAGCATATTCACTCATGGCTGAGGGAACAGGGAGGAGTTACTGATGGCAAAATAGGCCTGGAAAACTGGTTTTGGGATACAGAGGAATTGCAATGTGTTTTAGACTCAGAAGGGCTGTAGGGAGATGTGTCAAATTACAGACTGAACCATAGAGTACAGGTCCACTGAGCAAGGCTAAATGTTAATATTTTAATGATACTGGGTAGTAGCTGGCAAAGGTGGAAAGAAACCCAGTCCAGAACTAGATACAATAATATCTGGCAGGATACATAAGGTAGGTGGAAACTTTCTAGGTGGAGAAACAAAGGATTCAAAGAGTAAAGGAAGATAGAACCAGTAAAAGGGAAAACAAGGAAGAGATGCAGGTGGTAGAAAGAGCATCACAGGGTAGAACTAAGTGAATTAGGTGTTAGTTGAAGGACAGCTGAGAAACAGGTACCTCAAGGGTTTGGCTGCGAAGCTCTAGAGGAATATGCATGAAGATACCCTCCGGTATTTTCTGTAACATTAGCACATGGCACTCTAGGAATCGGACAAAGCCATGTGCACCAAATAGCGAAGCATTGGTTCTTTTCACCAACTGGCAAGCCTTGGAGAAATAGTGCTCAAACAGGCCCCACTGTGATTCCTGGGCAAACCTGGAGGAAAAGAGTAATAGCTCTCAGCAATATCTGCTGCTTACCAACCATGACTTTTGCTTAAAATCGTCACTTCTTTAAGGCTCTAAGACCTTCTGGACAGTCAGAATTGTGATGCTAGAAAGTGATCAAGGCTACTAACTCACATACAAGGAAACTTAAAAAGAGACCAATTATATTCAGCCTTGCTATGGGTTACTCTAGCAGTTAAGTGTAACCCTAAATGTAACCCTTGACCTACAGGCCAAAACCTGTTAAAGGACAAAAGCCCTTTTAATAAGATGGGAGGGTATGGGAGGTGAATGGTCTTTAAAAGTTGGTTAGAGATGTTCAACAGTCCTGTCAGGTGGGGAGAGACAGCTTAAATGACTTAAATGTCTATCCTTTTCCACAACCCTTGAGTAAGACATTACCACATGGCCAGGGAGGAGTGGACCCCCAGCATGACATTGCTCTGAGAGATTAGAACACGGCTGTGCTCGTAGATTTGAACGAAACGCAGACACTCACTAAAGGGCCGAAACAGCAATCCTGTGGACAGAGAAGGTAACCACGCTAGTATATACTATCAGTGTAGGAACCAGGGTATAGAAGATATGTGATACAGGGAAGGAAACAAGACCCCAAAGGCAGACACCCCTGAATCACAACATGGTTCCCAGACTTTAAGGAGCCAGAGGTCAGGGGCAGAGGCCATGCCTGAGGGACAGGTTCATGACTGCCTGTATTCCAAACCTAGAGCCCCATCTGAGGTCTGAATCCCTCAGGAGTACAGCAGAGACCTGTGCAAGATTTACCTTTTCCGTAGAGCAGCAGATCTAAGCAAGCAGAGTAAAAGCAGGCCAGGCCAAGGACATCATAACCCTGAGAAATGAGCGCCCACTGACTCTCCAGTACATGGACACACAGACCAAATCTGCCGAGAGACAGAGCCACTGGGACCAGCTAGGGAGTGAGGAGGATGGGTAGGAAAGGAAGGGGTCTTACACCTTCAAAGCAGCCTAACATCCTTTAGATCTCTTCATAGCTCTATTTATATAGAGAACATCTATGCCTGGGATCAGACCTATCTCTAGGCAAAGGAGGTGGGAGACTGCCTCTGAGGCAGTTTCCAGGGTCTTCAGCTGCTGCAATTTTCTATCTCCTTGCAGAGTTTTTTTTTTTTTGAAGAAAGTTTGTCCATGAGCCCCCAAGTGCTGAGGAATATATAGTAGCTCTGACTCTGCATTTCCACTCCTGATTCTTCCACACTTAAGATAATGTGGCTGGAGTGGCCAAGGGAAGGATATCCCGGGGTGTGGAAATGGAATAGCATCTCCCTCTCCACTCCAAACTTCTCTGGGAAAATATACACACCCCTCTTAGGAAACAAATACAAATGACAGAAAATGATCTTAATACTTCTTCTTCAGAAATGCAGATCTGAAGAGAACTGAGAGAACCAGATTCTCCAGAGCTGGTTTCTTGAGGTGTCTGCATATCTCATGAGCTTGAAAACCTGAGGAGGTTCAAGAGCACCGTGTGAGGTCCAGCTGTGAACATGTACTCTCTAAAAGCCCTAGACCCACCATCCCTAAGTCCCTTTACCCAGCTTGATGGAGAAGTCAAGATGGCCAAGGCAGAGCTTGGTGTAGGCCAGGGCCTGCATGAGCTGAGCTGTGGCCAACAATCCCTCCCTGGAGAACCAACATAAACTGCTTTTCTGAATGGCCATCTGCTCACAGTGCAGCCACTTGTCCTTGATGCCCATGCTCTGGGAGAACTGAGAGAGTTCCACATAGGTAGAGACAACCTGCAGGGAAACAAACACAGGGCAAAATATTCCCATTGTACATTCATGTAACATTTCCATTTTGTTCCTTTCCTATGTAAGAGCCTATTATGATGCCTTGCTGCTTACTCAGTCTAAACTCCTGGTATCCCACAACTTGCCTCCAACCCAGCTAGAAAAATATGCTCCTTCTCACCCCTACACTTCTAACTGGATCATTCTCACTGCCTGTTCTTTAAACAAACCACTTTCTCTACATGCTCCTGCTTTTCCTCTCCAATCCATGACTTTCCCTTTCAAAACACTGATTAAACTACCTCTTCTTTGTTTTCTAATTTAAGACCTCTGGTATTTGCTCCATAGAGCTCTTCAAGGCTGCTGCCTAGATCTCTATGTAACTATGTGCACATCTGAAATAGTGTTCTATATAACTATGTGTGCACTTGAAATAGTGTTCTCTTCTTGGAACACTGTCTTCCCTAGCTTTCCAGCATGCCAGGCTCTGTTGGTTTTCCTCCTGTCTCCCTGGCAACTTATTCTCAGTTTCTTTTGCTGGTTTCTCCTCACCACTCTGACCTTTTAACACTGGAGCTGTTAACAAAGTCCCTGGAACTTTTCTATACTAATTCCTTTGGTGTTCTCACACAGTCCTGTGACTTTAAACAGTATTTGCACACTGATGGTTCCCATATGTCTATTTCCAGCTCAGACCTCTCCCATGAATCCCAGACTTGAATATTCACCTGGACTCATATTCACCAGACTTGTCTCCACCTCGATGTCTAATGGGCATCTCAAATAAAATATGTCTAAAGCCTAGCTCCCAAATCTTCCCCCAAATCTATTCTTCCTGCAGACTTCCCTATCCCAATTAAGAGCATCTCTGTCCCTCTAGAAGTTCGGGTCACAACTTTTTGGATTATCCTTGACTCTTCTTTCCCTCACATCCCAGAACTGATCCATGAGTGAATCCTATTGCCTCTAAACTCCCAACCTTTTTTCCCCACAATAATCAAAGCCATCACCATCTCTTGCTTAGATTACTGCATTAGCTTCCTAACTGGTCTCCCTGCTTCCTCCCTTGTCCCCTTCATGTTACTTTCAACACAGCAGACAGAATGATCTTATTAAAATATAAGTAGATACTGTCACCCCTCTTCTCAGAACCCATTAACGGCTTCCCATCTCTTTCAGAGTAAAAGCCAAAACTCCTACAGTGGCCTATCTAGGGTCTGCACCATTTGCCACCCCACCCCTTCCCGGTCCTTCTGACCTCATCTCTTGGTTCACTCTCCTCCTCTTCCTCCCCTCCAGTCACACTGTCCTTCAAACACAGAGGATATGCCTTGAGCATTCACTGTGCCCTCTGCCTGGATACTCTACTCCCAGACAGTCTGACTTTCTCGCCTCTTTCAGATATTTACTCCAATGTCACCTGCTCAGCAAAGCTTTCTCTGACCACCTTGTTCAAAACTATACCCCACCCCTCACCTCACAGAACTCCATATCCCCTTGCCTCCACTTCATTTTGCTCCACTGCATTGATTATCACCTAACATACTGTATATTTTACTTATTATATTTCCCTGGAGTCAAGATCAGTGCCTGGCATATAATAGGTGTTCACTAAATGGTTCGTTGTTGAATATGTGGATAAGACAGAGAGAAAGGTAAGACACTAAAATGAGGAAGACACATTTCCTTTTGTTTTTTTCCTAAATCAGCAGTTTTAAATCTTTTTTAGATCACAGGCTTCTTTGAGAATCTGATGAAAGCAATGACCCCTTTTCTTCCTCCTGCCAGCCCCCAAAGGTTCTTTTGAATATACACATAAAATTCTGCATTCAGTTCTGGGAGTTCACAGATAATCTCATAGCTGGAAACCCATCTATAAACTGCAAACTGAGAAACCTCACTTGAACACATGATCAGCGTTGTCTGGGTTATTGGAGAACCATGCTAAACCAGGAACTTGGTTTCTGAGTGAGGTCCAAAGGTAAAGCAAGGACCTGCTTACCTGGGCTTCATTTGCAAACTCCTCAGCTGAATTCTTCTGCATAAGAGTAGCCAGGCAGGCAAATCTGTAGCTACTGGCTGTGGCCTCCAGGTTATAGAGCTGCCAGAGTAGGGACAGGCAATGCACCTGCTGCTGCAGAACTGCCAAATTCTTCTTACTGTTGCAAGGCACAGGGTGGTTAGCACACCCTTATTCTTTACTAATGCCCAAAGTTCCCTCCCTACAAGAGCTCCAAGTCTACTCATCATGGGGCCATCTACAGATGTCCAAATTCAGAAATAGTCCTTGGTTCCCACTACTCCTAACTGCATATGCCATTTTAATTAATCCCTCTTGATCAGGAAAAGTTCAGAGAGAGGTTTCAAAAAAAGATTCATTCTTTAAATCCCTATTTGCTACATGTAATTGGCTGGGGGAGTAAGGTGGAAGAGTTAGAACTGTATGTTATATACTTATTTGTTACATGCATATATATATATATCTCTATATATATCTATATATATGCTGACTGTTATATATCTTGTTATCTGCTTGTCTGTTAGATGCTTGAAGATTATTTGATAGAAAAAGAGTAGTTTTAGGTCAAAAAGGCAAAGCTCAGGCTAGATAACTACAGTCTTAGGAAGCCTTCTCACTTCTCACTAGGGTTGTTTGGAGGTTGGCTCAGGGTACAGGGATGCCAATACTTTTCCAGGAATGTCTGGAAAAGGACACCAAACCAGGTCCAAGGGAAATTCCTTTTCAGCAGCCGAAGGGCTTTCCTAGCCAATTTTTTGGCTAAAGTGATGTGTCCCATGTTGAAACAGACCTGGAGATGGGAAAACAAGAAGAATTAATGTAAATACAAGGTTTTGGATATAATACACTGGCTCTTTCATTTTGAGATGTGTAGTTGGGGTTACTGAGGTGCTAAGCGTGAGCTGAGCTAGAGCATAGCCTGGTTAGCAGTCACCCTAACAAGCACCAGTATGGCCATAAGTGAGTAAAGGGTTGAGAAAGTAGGATTATGGAGAAAGTATCCTCCTTTCTCATCTCCCACACATTTGTCAGTGGGCAGTAGAGGAAGGCTGTGATTTAAAATGTGATGCTGCTAGACTGAGAAGGGATCGTCATTTGAGTGGAGACTCAGATGCTCTCACATAACATAGAAAGCATCTATAATATCACCAAATCCTTTATCTCTCTTCCAAAATAGGTTGACTCACAGTAGATGTGGGGTGGGAGCTGGGGAACTACCTTGGAGTTATCCTATATCTTCACATTTTAAGGCTGAATCCCTCAAGAAAGTGATAAAGTCTATGTGATTCTAGAACAAAGAACAATCTTGGGAGGACTGTACAATAACTCTCACTTATAAAGGGAAAGAATACTTATTTAACTTTGCTCTGAAGACCTCTTGGTTGAAGCATAAATAATGCAACAATGTGACAACTCTAATACTCCCTTTGGCCTTGAAGACATTATATACCTTAAGTTTACTATCCTAACCAAATTATCCTAAGGTTTACATTAAAATTAGTTTACATATACTCCAATGAGCAAATTAGTTTATATCTACTTCAATGAACATGAATGGATAATTCACAAAAAAATACAAATGACCAATAAACCTAGAAGAATGATGTACCTTATTAATTAAGAGAAACACATTAAAACAATATAACTTTGTCTAGGAATTAGCAAGGTTAGAAAAGACTGGTAGTATCTGATGTTAGTAAGGATATGAGGAAATGGGAAAAACTTGAGTTGATACAATATTTTTGTTTGGCAATTTGGTGATGTATTTATGAATTTTAAAATTGTGTCTTAGCATTGCCACCTTTGGAAATTTCTCTTACAAAAACACTCTCACAAGGAGAGAAAGAGATACTTAAGAAGAATATTCACTGTAGCAATGTTCATAATAATCCCCAAAATAGAGATAACCTAAATGCACCTGAAGAAGGGAAGAGCTAAGCTATGATCTAGCCAATGGAGTACTTGGCAGTTGTAACTATGTGGTGGATCAGTATGCACACCAATATGTAAATAGGTTCTGTCTGTACTATTAAGAATAAAAGCAAACTGCAGGAACAAGAAAATGTAGAATATGATCCTATTAAAAAATAATGGAAAACAATGATATGGCTGTGTGTGTACAGTTGGTGGAACATGCATACAATTATTAATTATGGTGGGGGGGTGTAGGATTAGTGGGAGCTCTTTCACTTTCTACCTATTATATATTTCTATATTTTAAATGTGAATAAACCTTTTATCACATTATCACATTTATAATCATACACAAAAAACAATGAAGAGATTTTAAAAGAAATAATAGGGTAACCCTCAAGGAGAAATAGCCAGCACTTCAAGGTCACCCCTGTCCTCACCTCTGACAGAAGACGGCAGAAAGTAGCCTCCTCAAACTGACAGATCTTCACTTTGTGTTTTTTCAAAAATGAAAATGCTGAGGGTTGGCCCAGAAGACTGCTTGCCTTCCTTAAATAAAAGAAGGCCTCCAAACAGGGCAAGGGATAAAGAAACCAGATTAGGATTAGGATGATGCTGGTGTGATTAGGGCAAAGGCTGGAGTAAGGTTATGATGAGGGTCAAGATCAGAATTTGAAACAGATTTGGACTTCAAGCTAGAAACAGGAGCTGGACTGCTTGTGCAAGAGTCAGGGGCAGTGCCAGCACGGGTTGGTGCTATTCCACTACCATATTCCCACTTCATGTTTTTTCCTTTCTAGCTCTTCTCTCTCTCCTACTTTCTTCCACTTTTCACTCATGGTTATGATTGTAAGAGATCTCAATCAAATTCTCAAAGTAAAAGGCTCAGCTGAAGGGCAGATTGCAGAGCCTGCTCACCATATAATTGTCTGACAGGTCCAAGGAGGCAGCCGCAGCCTCCAGCAGGTAATAAAATGCACAGGTCGTTTCTCCAATGACCAAGCAATGCTGGGTGAGGGGTGAGAGCACTAACTTCAGGATATCCTTACAGTGACAAGGCTTTGTGGTCAACAGGTCTTTCTCAGGGCTGGTCTGAGCCAGCTTCCTCTTCACTTGATCTAGGAACTCTTCCTCTGTTCTTTGTGGAAAGAAAATGAAAAACTGAGAGTGGCCACCTTTATTGGGGCATTACCAGGTCTCAAAGTCACTTTTTCCAGGAAGCTTTCCTGTATCATTCATTAATTATTTGTCTATCCTTCTCCTCAATTACTCCATAAAATTTTAAAAGTCAGGGACCAGAGCTGTAACTGCAAAGCTCTATTAGGAATTTTTAAAAGCTGAAAGCCAATCTAAATAGCTCAATCTAAATGGGGAAATACCACACTTGAATAGTTAAATAACAATCTAAATGTTAAATAAAACATAAAAATGATACAAAGCAATAATAATACATTTTTTCTGATAGCATATTTGAATTTTCTAATACCACATTTTAATATTATTTTATATATCATCATCTAATCCTACAACAACTCTCTCATTCAGGCAGGCAAAAATTACCTCTTTTAGGTCATTGAGGCTCAGAGAAATTACATATAGCTTCGTACTGAGAAGTAGAACCAAAACTAGAGCTTACCACTTTGACTTCTAATCTAGTGTACTTTTCACAGGCACGCTGAGCTCAAAAGTCAGATCTCTCTAAGCTATAATGATCTAAAAAAGTGGAGACTGAGGAGGGCCTTGAAGGATGGTCAACATACTGATAGGTGGAGAGATGTGGAGGTCACTCAGCATTTAACAAGGGAGAATTGTGTGAGCAAAGACACACAGGTTAGTGTGTCTTTTTGTTTGTTTGAAAACAGTAAGAAATTTTTTTTGATTTTTTTTTGAAATTTTTGTTTCAAAACAGTTTTTTGTTTGAAAACAGTAAGAAATCAAGTTAGATAAGTGGGATGGGAAACTGTATATAGAGTGGCTGGTGCACTCCAGGTAGGGACATTGAAACTGAAAAGCATTAGAGATCCAGGAGGTACATGGTTAGGAAATGTATGTTCATTTTAATATCATCTGGGCTAAAATAATTAAGAAGACAAATCTATAGCTGGAAATAAAAATGCTACATATAAAATGCACTTAAAAGCTATTAAAAGGCTGGGTGTGGTGGTTCACGCCTGTAATCCCAGCACTTTGGGAGGCTGAAGCTGGTGGATCACCTGAGGTCAGGAGTTCAAGATCAGCCTGGCCAACATGGCGAAACGCTGTGTCTACTAAAAATACAAAAATTAGCCAGGCGTGGTGGCATGCACCTGTAACTCCAGCTACTTGGGAGGCTGAGGCAAGAGAATCGCTTGAACCTGGGAGGCAGAGGTTGCGCAGTAAAGCGAGATGGTGCCACTGCACTCCAGCCTGGGCGACACAGACTCCATCTCAAAAAAAAAAAAAAAAAAAAAGGAAAGAAAAACGTGTTTTTAAAAAGTTTTTCTCAACCATTAAGAAATAATTTCCCACCAGGCGTGGTGGATCATGCCCGTAATCCCAGCACTTTGGGAGGCTGAGGCGGGCAGATCATGAGGTCAGGAGATCGAGAGCATCCTGGCTAACATGGAGAAACCCCATCTCTACTAAAAATACAAAAATTACTAGGGTGTGGTGGCACACGCCTATAGTCTCAGCTACTCGGGAGGCTGAGGCAGGAATCACTTTGACCTGGGAGGCAGAGGTTGCAGTGAGCCAAGATCACGCCGTTGCATTCTAGCCTGGGTAACAGAGTGAGACTCTGTCTCCAAAAAAAAACCAAAAAACAAAAAACAAAAACAAAAGAAAAAGAAAAAAATAATAATTTCCCTATAGAGAATCAAAAATTGCCTTTCCAAATATTCTCTGTTAACCTTAATACTGGGCTTAGTACAAGAGTCACCACTCCTCAACTGCAAGTGACATAAGTGGCTTAGTTTAATGGTCATCTTTCTGTCACTTTTGGTCCCTCCATGTTCACCCTCAGCATTTCTGTCTACCTGCAGCATTCACTTGAGAAGGCCTCCTGAGTTCTGGATGGTTTCATCTGGAATGGAAAATTATCTGTAGGGAGAAAAAAAATATGATTAATTCTCCATGTTTGGATGAACTGAGGACATTTTAAATTCTTGACTACCTTTCTTCTGCAGTTTACAACACAAAATTACGATGGTAGTTTGTAAATTCCTTCACAACTACTTGTGATTCAAATAGTAACTCTCATCATTCCCAAACCTTCAAACTAGTTCTGATTTTGAAGGAGGCACTCAGTATTTTCAAGATGAAGGAAAAATAAAGAATGTGTCCATCCTGGTTTGCTGGCTATTTCTAGTAGTGGAAATCCCTGAATACATATGGATCAGGGTCATGACCAGATCAGAGTGAACTGTAAAGGCTAAAACCAAGTGAAGAAAATTGTGATAGTATAAGATACCACAGTTCCCTAGTCAGTGACCAAGAGAGCTTTCCAGCTTTATGTAGCAGGCTTTAAATAGCCTTTATCCTACAGATTTGATTCTTCTTCTGAAGCTGCCTTCTAACAGATAACAGCAAATATTAGGAATGATGTTGAGATGTTACCCATTGCAACTCACAGCATGGATGGTGGGACTGATAAGGAGTCTAAGAGGACTGTTTTAGGGAGAACTTGGGTTAAGTAAAAGGACTGGCTTGCTGATGATAATGTTAAATCACAGCTAAGATAACTGAAGATATTGGCAGCTCTACTGCAGTACACAACTCCAAGAGGCACCCTCATATCATAGCCTCTGTAATAGTACCCTCTGGAGCCAGGCAATGCCAGGTCTGCAATGGCAATGCACAAAGGCCTCGGGTCTGGGAAGCCTCCTCAGGGTTCTGCTGGGCTGAGAAGGTCTTGAGCCTTTTTCCTATGGATGGACCAGGCTGTCTAATCCAAAGCAAAAAAAAAAAAAAACAAAACAAAAACCTGACCTTTTTATTTATTTATTTATTTATTTTTTGAGACAGAGTCTTGCTCTGTTGCCCAGGCTGGAGTGCAGTGGCTGGATCTCAGCTCACTGCAAACTCTGCCTCCCAGGTCCACGTCATTCTCCTGCCTCAGCCTCCTGAGTAGCTGGGACTATAGGTGCCCGCCACCAGGCCTGGCTACTTTTTTGTATTTTTAGTAGAGACGGGATTTCACTGTGTTAGCCAGGATGGTCTCGATCTCCTGACCTTGTGATCTGCCCACCTTGGCCTCCCAAAGTGCTGGGATTACAGGTGTGAGCCAACAGGCTGGGCCAAAACTGACGTCTTAAAAGCAAAAAAGTCACACAGGAAATATGAACAATAGCACAGTTTCTTCACAATACCAGACTTTGGAAAGCACAACAGGTACAAATGCACATAGAGCTCATCAACCAATGACTAATTGCTCCAAGTCATTGGTCCACCTTCACAGTCATGATGTTATACCTAGAAGAAGAATTGTATCATACACCAAATCCCTCATTTCAGCCTTTTGCCGACAACTATCTACCATTTTCCACATACCATCACCCCACCCCCAATACCAAACCAACTCCCTTTTATCAAAGTAGGGAAAGAGGATTTGGTTAGGTCTTGATAGCTATCTTCAAGTATGGAAGAGGGTATAACTATGAAAAATGGATGAAGCTACAAGGAGGCAGCTTACATCCTGATGAAAGAAGAAACTTTCTGACAGCTGGAGACGATGAGTTGTTCTGTAAGGTAAGCTAACTGAAAAGGCTAAACAAAGAGGAATGACCTCATATGTTTAACAGGCTATGGTGAGTATCTATTAACCAATAAAACCTTCTTCAGGTAGCTAACTCCTACTTATCCCTCAAGACGCAATTCTGACATTATCTACTTCAAAGGAGAATCTTCACTGACATATTTCCCCAGCTGAGTTAATGGCCCCGTCTCATTTTCATTGCTTTTACCATGCCATACTAGAATTCTCTATCTATATGTGTGTAGTAACCCCCAAAACAGATAGCTTCAGAAGTGCAAAGAGCAAGGCTTATTCACACCATATTCCTTGGTATAGAATCTGACACACATAAGGACTCAATATGTGTGTACTGAGCTGAAAAATAATAGTAATAATCAAAACAATAGCTAAAGGGTATTGAGCAATCACCATATGTCTGGCACTGTTCAGAGCATATTTTAACTAATTTAATCCCCACAATGTCCCAGTAAAGTTGATATTATTATTAATTAATTAATTTATTTATTTTGAGACAGAGTCTTACTCTGTCGCCCAGGCTGGAGTGCAGTGGCATAATCTCGGCTCACTGCAACCTCCGGCTCCCGGGTTCAAGCGATTCTCCTGCCTCAGCCCCGCGAGTATCTGGGATTATAGGCGCCCACCACCACACCTGGCTAATTTTTGTATTTGTAGTAGAGAGGGGGTTTCACCATGTTGGCCAGGCTGGTCTTGATCTCCTGACCTCAAGTGATCCGCCTGCTTCAGCCTCTCAAAATGCTGGGATTACAGGTGTAAGCCACCGCACCCGGCCCGTGAAGTTGGTATTGTTACTGTCCCCAATTGATTGAGGTTAAGTAACTTGCCCAAGATTGCCAGTCAGAACAAATATGATCTCTAAGGTAGTCTTTAACTCTGAGATTACATTTTTTTAAATCTCTAGTACTTAAAGAATAAATAAGTGGTTCTTTCTACCTACTTTTCTCCTTTAATCTGATTTCAACTTTTTGATGAAGAATTCCAAGTACATGAATACCCATATATCCTCTTTCTGCCTCCTGGGTTTACCTTGGGGAGAAGGCAGCTGCAATTTTTCTGTGATCACTTGTGTTAGCACTGAGCCAGTATCTCTGTAAGGACAGAATCGAGAGGTCCCCTTGGAATTCTTAGTAGAACAAACTGCAAAACGGTGAAAGGGGACAAAGTCTCCTCCATGGCAGCTCCCACAGCGGCAGGCCAAAACTTGGAGAAAGCAGGCACATTCGAGGTGTAAAGCTATCTGTTGTTCCTTGGGCCAGAGCTCCCAAGCAGCTGCCCGTAGTAGAGGCACTCCAAATTCCAACACCTCAGTTTGAGGTAGGGATAATTCTTCTTTTAGCCTGAGAAGAGAGGCTGAACCACCATCTGAAATTTAGGAAAATCTAAGTGAGATTTTCCCTTATAATCCTTTGTGCTTCAATATGGCAAACTCTCAAGCACATGGCTGCTAGTGTGTAAGAAAATTCTATTTACAACCCTAGGCTAATATTACTGCCTCCTTTGTATAAAAAATTTTGTACCATTCTGAGAGTGATACTGACCATATCTTGTATAAAGTACAACAGAGAAGAAATGATCAGTGGTACAAAAAAATCCTGTACTTCTATACCACTGATTTCTTAATTGTTTCTCCTAAATTGAGATTTTACTTCAAATTATTACAAATGTCAAATCATAGGAAATGCTCTGTTCAAATATAGGGCCCAAACATATTTCAAAGTCAAAGGGAAAGTATTTGTGAATTATATGTGCTTTGGGTAGTCCATGTTACAATCTTATTCTTTCATATGGAGAATTTGAGATCGCAAACTATTTATATCTTGCTTTGTTCATGTCTGTTTCAATTCCACATGTGTTTGTCTTCCTTGTGAGTTTCTAAAATTGGGGATGGTTTATTCTTTTATCTCATTCTTTGTACCTAGAAGCCAATAAAAGATTATGTCAATATTTTCTGAACCAAAAATCAAAACACAAATACTAACACCTGGGTTAAAAAGGAGCTAGAATTCCTGAAATGAAGACAAGTCTGAAAAATACAGGATATTTTTTCACTACATCCATGTCTCCTTCATGGTTTAAATGATAATTTTCTTTCTGTTTCTTAGCCATAGGCTTTGAGAGAGAGACCCTCAAACTGGGTGTGGTGGTATGCACCCATTGAGCTCAGGAGTTACAGCCTGGGCAACATAACAAAACTCCATCTTTAAACAAACGAATGAGAGAACCCCTTGACATATGATATTGATGGTCTTTCTGAACACAGATACCCCCATAGGGACTCTTTGTTCAGACCTGAGTAAAAGGGAACAGCCATTCCTTACCTAACTTTGTTTTCTTCTCTTTGGTTTCATCAATTATGTCGATAGAGGAAGGCACTAATGTGGGTTCAGCAGGAAGCTCTTGGCTCTTGTCGGGCCAGCAGAGCACATGTATATCCACAAGAGCTCTCAACACCTGAAGTAGCTTATTTTTATCCCAGCCAGGCAGGAGGTGCTGCAGCAAATCTATATGGAAGGAGTGCCCAATGATTGCAGCACACTTGACCAGCAACTGTTCCTCTGGGCTCAGTTGATCCAGTTGGCTTACTGCTATTTCTGCCAAAATCAATCAGTCAATCAGTCAAGCAGCAGTGAACAAGATTTCTACAAATCTAGAATATATCATGTTGAAAGTCTGTACAGTTTTTTTAAAAACAAAGATGTGCTTTTCATCTACCCATGTCTACTGCCCCCACCTCAATCCTCCCTACTCTACTTAGCCAAACTTCTTTGCTTATGCTAAGAATAACCTCTGCTTGGGAAATTGAATTTGGACTGGTAAAACTGAATGAACTGGTGGTAAGCCACAGATTTGGGCTTCCTTGGGTATAATCATTCTTGTAAAAGGTCATGCCTCTTGCAGAGCCTGAAAGCGATGCCTGTTTGGGCCATTATAAGAGATACGGCCTTTAGTGGGTCCATGAGGCCTCTAAGCACCCATGAGTCATAGTTTCATTCCCCACAGCTGAGCTATTACTTGAGGCTCCAGAGAATAGCCCCTGGAGTGCTATGTAAACTCCTGTGAAAACTCTCACTGAAGAAGAGTACCTGCTGCTGTCCTGTTAGCATCCTGTATTTCCTTCTGAGTAAGAAAAGCCATTGCTAAGCATGGTCTATCACAGCTGTATCAGTGTAAACTGTCTAGTTGAACCTGAAACCTCCAGAGTAAAGAGCTTATAATATAATAGCTAACACTCATGGAATATTTATTATGTGCCATAATTTATTTAATTTAATCCTCAACTAGCCCCATGAGGCAGGGACTATTATTGTCCTCATTTGACTGATGAGAAGTTGACTAACTTATTCAAAGTTCCATAGCCAGTAAGTGCAGGAGTCCATGGTGCCAGGGTTTTCTGACTCTAGAGCCCTGGCCCTTAACTACCATGGTGTCCTGAACTGCTGTTTCATGTGTGTGTCTTATTTTCTCAACAAGACCACACTGTACTTGAAGGTATGCTTGTTCATCACAATATTCCTCAAGAGGGCTTAGTATTAGTACCTTGCCCACCAAACACTTGAATAAAATATTAAAATAAGAAAAATTCATTTCTAAGAAGAACATCCCCTCTCCAACTATGCCTACCCAATTCTGATAGCTTCGTTATTCTTTATGGCATCAGTCATTCTACTTTGCACTCTTCCTTTTTATTAAACTCTTGCTATGTGCATAACACTGTATCTTCACTAACACCATGGATTTTCTTAAATCTTAGCAACATCATCTCCTTTGCTTACTGTCTACTCTGGAACAAGAATATGCACAAAGGGAAACTCTGGACCTATTTTGTATTAAATAATTGGAAAACTTTTCTGGGTCATCAGTCAGCCCCAAAGAGAACAATTAGCTCATTTAAGTAAAACCTTACTCAAGTAGCCTTACAAGTCTTCAAAGAGCTCTTCAGGCAATGCCAGAACTTATTTCTAGAAGGTAGATTTCTTTTTTAGAAGAAATGAAGCCAGAATGATAATGAGAGACCTACACTCAACTACTCACCAAATTACTAATTGCAATGATATCTGTAATTGGTTCACTTGAGGTCTTCAAGGGACTTACCTTTCAGAAAGGGTGGGAGAAGTACTGTATCCAAGTTCACATCATCCTTGACTGTGCAGACATAAAGTTCCTGGCCTTCTTCAGAGTTGGCAGGAAACATACTATACATTATGGAATTCATGGCATTGGCTGTAAAGAAAACAGGCTATGACTGAGGAAAGCACCATTCTCAGTGACTGCAGTTCCAAAGGCACAAAAATATAATAATTTAGTCAAAAAAAATAAAAAACCTAAAGGATGAAGATGACTGGAGTGTACCATGGTTTAAAGTGTTTTACCCCACCTGTCTGCCTGTTCTCTAATTTTCTCTTATAAACTAACAACATTCTCTGTACCAATCAGTATCTTACAACTAATCACTATTCCTGTTCACCTTATAACAGCTCTTGCTTCTATTACATCACAGCTCTGGGATGCCTTTCTGCTTTTACACACACTTCTACCCTTTATTCCTCTCCTAATTTCCTCCCTTCTCCCATCCCCCATCCAAATCCTCAAGTCAGCCTTCTCATCAATAGTGTACAATTCTTTTTTCTGGACTTTCATGTTTATAAATCCTAATTTCCTAGTCCCACCTCTTGGGCTGCTTATAAAATGAACTATTGTAGATTGATTGGATTAAGTTATCCAAAGCAAGTCTTGAGTATTTTCACCCTAATTGTATAAGATTTGTACAGTGTGCTTACCTGGGAAGGCCTAGTGTGGCCCACAATGTTAGCAAGGAAAAGGTATGTACCTCGTAAAGGCCAAGTGATGTCATGCTGGAGAATGAACTTCAGCAGCTGGACCAGCGTAGAACTCTGGGAAGCTAAGCTTACCTGAGAGGGTTTCCCACTTGCTGTTTTCCTCTTCCTCCTTTTGTAGGTCATGAAAGAGCAACATGTCCTTAGAGAGAAGGTCCTGGCATAGGACCTCGCAATAAAGGGGATTTCCAAAGCACCTGTGAAGGTAGCTGCAGGGAGGTAAGTAAGGGATTGCACATTAGAGATGACCACTTTAGGGGAGCCAAATGTAACGGTACTTCACTCTGAGGAATCTTCTTTTGTTAAAGTCAGCTCTTCATGACGTACACTAACAGAGGGGGACAGAGGCACAGAAATAGAAAAAAGTAATTTCTGATTGGCCTTGAAATGTATTTCGGCAATAACTTTTCTTTCTCAACTATTTTTCTTTTATTGATGAAAGGAACTAACATTCCCTTGCTAAAGGGTCTGGCAGAAAGGGGCCTTATCACATATAACTGACACATAAAGCAAGCCACCCAAGTTCTAATTGTCTTGTGAAAACCTGGGTGGACAGCCCAGGGAGGCAGCCCCTTACTTGATTACAAGAAGACTGTCTCCCTTAAATCTAGTCTTGGGGCCTCATCGTGGTTACTAATGCTACTCTCTCCCCCAACTCCAGTAAGACCTGTGCTTTCTCATTTATATTATGGCACTGGTTCCTCCCTTAATGAAGTGCTCACTTAGTCCTAGCCACTCACATCTGCAGCTCTTGGGGGATGCTCACCACCCCTAGCTCCCAACATGCCATTCTCAACAGCGAGGTTGTTGCCAACTTCGTAATAGGCATAAGGATAGCTTGAGGGCTCTGCAGGAAATGCTGGGCCGAGCCACACAGGGTGAAGATAGGGGTCAACGTCATCACCATGATGATGGGCATACTGGAGAGCAATGTTTCCAAAAACTCCCAGGAAGCTGCATCCATATACTGGGCCTCATCAATGAGGAAAATCAGTGGTGTTTCCCTCACTGCCTGGAAAGAACAGCAAAGAAACAATAACCTCTGATTAGAAATGAAGTCACCTGGTTTTCAAATCTACCATAAATTTCCCATCAATAATTTAAATAAAATGTTAACACAGGCTAGAGTTTTCGGAGTAAAATATATTCTAAATCCAGGTAATATTTTACTTTATAAATATAAAATCTAGTTCCTAAAAAAAGTACTGGGTTTCTGTGGACCAGAAAATATTCTACCTGAAACATGAAACACGCATCAAAATATTCTCCAAATCAAACTTGAAGCTTTCAAATATTTCATTCTGGCAAAAGCTTCATTTGTGTGGGAACTCATAATACCTTAAAACAGCAATTTCCAAATCAGGCTATGCACTGGAATCACCTGGGAGTGCTTGCCAGCACTCCCAATCACCAGGCCCCACTCAAACAGACTTTAAAGATCTATTTACTTTTAATCACATTTGGAACTCCCACTCCACTCTCCGCTACCTCAAGTGACCATTCTAATGTGTTCATTGCATAGTTCTTTGTTTCTATGGTGTTCTTATAAAACATGCATTGTTGTTTTGTCAAGTAATTGTTTTTAATGTAAATGCAACTGTATTACAGATCTCATTATTTCTCTCTCTCTTTCTAACCAGGACTGTGTTTTTAAGATCATTTCATATCACTATGTTTTTTATATATTCTCCTGTTTCTAAATTCTGCATTTTATTCCATCATGTTCATGCATGCATTCATGCCGATAACTCCCTGGCCTCCACACTGTTAAGAACATACTTGTTGAGATATATACCCAGGAGTAGAATTGCTGGGTCTAGAGGATACATGTTATTAAAATTTGACTAGTTGCTTTTAGATTGCTTTCCAGAATGGTTATATCAGTCTCTACTCATACAGATTTTTGATTCTATAATCCTAGGTTAGAACATGAGTATCTGCATTTTTAACAAATACTAGATAAAATAGCTATATAACTGCATTTAGAAACTACTATTTTAAATTAAACTACTAAAATTTTATTTAGAAACAGGATCTGGAAGAGCAAAGATCTTTTCTTGTATGCCATGCTGTGTTGTAGGATGAATCTAAGCTTAAAAGTAGAAAATAACAATGAAGATATTGGCAAATAGGCAGGCCAAGAAATGCCTGAATCAAAGTGTGATGTGGACAGATTAAACATAAACTATCTCCACATATTAAGAGTTAGTGACATGTAGTGAAAGTACCCACCTCCTGAAGTACTTTAATAAAACATGCTTTAACCTTCTTTTGTCTGGCCACGTCATCCATGTGCGAAACTTTGAAGGACAAAGGAAACTGACCAGGAAAATTATTACATGTTAGCATTTAAAATGAAAATCCAATAAAAACATGCAGGTTCTCCAAAGGGAACACAAGACAATTCTATTTTGACTGAGAATGGGTTTCTGCAAGTTTGAGCACAGAGTTACAAGGGCCAATCCAACATTAATATATAGTTCAAAGGATGAGACAGAAAGTTCATGAAGGGTTAGAGACAGATATCTATCTCCTTTCCATACCAGACTCTAGTAAAACCCTTAAAGGGTTATGACTAAGGAGTAAATGACAGGTTGAACTTAGCAATGCCATTTTGGGCAGCTCCAGTATCCCAGTTATTCCAAGTATACCAGGATGAAATCTGTACATGAGACTTGTCAGAATAAGATGCAACAGACATCACGTAACATTGTTTCCTGTGCTAGGCTGAGGCACATGAACTACCAGGAACCTGAGAACCAAAGTGAGATGACTGCTAATCTACGTAGGCAAGGGTTTAGAGACCCAAGCAAGGCCTGTCTTAAGAGAGCGATATGTTGAGGGATTAGACAGATCTTAGGATTCCATTCCAAAATACTCTGCAGGGTGGGTAGATTAGGAGAAGTGATAGAGGATAAATAAAACAAATTGTGGACCAGTGAATTTTTAGCTTGTTCACTACTGGATACCCCATAAATCCTAGACCTCTGAAGGCTTTTGAGATCCAGATGCTGGTTTCAAATGATATGTTCTGTGGTAAGGGAACAGGAAGGTAGGGTTAAAAAATAAAGAAATTGTAACCAACTCAAGAACACATGGATATAATTCCTGGGGATATGCCACTGGTGAGGGCCACCTTAATGTATTTAGCACTTTAAAATATACAATGCAATCTCTTAGATACCATCTCCTTTAAAATTCACATAAAAACATATAGTACTATAATTGTTATTTCACAGATGAAAAAGCTATGACTCAGAGAGGCTAAGTGATTTGCTCTAGGACATACAACTACCAAGTGTCAGGTTCAATACTAGAATTCACTCTCTTCAAAAGCAGAAAGCCTGAGTTTTGGTGTCAAAGGAATTCCAAATCTTGGCTCTACCATATATATATATATAAAATATGTGTGTGTGTGTGTGTGTGTGTGTGTGTATATATATATATATATATATAAAATATGTATATCCTCAGATTACTAGATTAGAAAACAATCCTAGGTCTGACTTTCCACAAAATATAACAGTAACCCAATTCAGAAAGCCACTGCCTTCATTACCTTCACAAATAAGAGGTCATTAAAAAGGCAGTGAAGTTGTTCTTCCACTATCCCACGAAGGTGTCTTTGTAGGCACTCTTGCCGGTAATAGGCTGGGCATGTATCAATTTCAAAGAAGATGGCCATGAGGGTCTGGATGGCATAGAAGCACTGCTTGGAATCTGCTTCCTTCAGCATCAATGGCAATACCCTGGTGAATATTACTATGGTCATCAAGAGTCCCCTGTATGACACGTAGGTTACTCACTTCACCAGTCCAAGAATGCTGAATCTAATGACACGAGAGTCTCGCTAACAAGGGAAAGAGGCCTCAAGAGAAGTAGGTTCTGACTAAGAAAACAGGAGTCTTTACCTATGCCCTTCCTTCTGTGTCAGGAAGTTTACTTCAGCCAACAGCTGGCTTTTTCCATAGCCTTTTCCACCTTCATACAGAACTGCTTGTCCCTTCTTCTGGTGCAAACACCTCTGCTGTGCCATTTGGAAGGCTTCCAATTCTTTCTCCCGGTCTGTAGAGAGACAGGGAGCACCTAACACTCCTGGATATCAATAATCAACATTATTGATTGTTGCAGGCTTTTTGGTAGATACTCTATTGATTTGAATCAATTTGCAAAGCTAACTCTCAGAATGGCTTTTTTTCTCCAGAATTCCTGGAAGAATCTCATTCATTGATGGGGCTTCATATCTCCTTCCAGAAAATCAATTCTGAGTTAATATATGCTGGTCTTGAGGGCTTATTCCAGAGCCTAAGTAGTAACATTCAGAAAAATTAGGCACCTTGTGGACACAGGTGTCTCTTAATTTTTTGTAAAAATTTTCTTAGTAACAATTTAGTCTTCAAAATCTGTCACTACTATGTAAAAATAATGGACTAATAAGTATAGACTAAAATAAATATAAAGATAGGGGATATACAGTGTGGGTGACAACAGTCTTGGTGCTATTTTCATTATTCTAAGGATGATGAATTTTTCTCTAAAGATGATCCAAAATAAGCTGTCTGATCTTAATAACTAAACTCTAACTTACAAAGATTAAATATTACTAAATGTTGGTGTTTCTCAGGCAGTTATAGGACTTCATCTGAAATCTGAATACTTGACATGGAAAAGAAATAGTAAATCCTCTTCAAAATGAATATAATTTCACTAAGAAAGTTGCTCTCTATTTTTTAATAAAGCTTAAAAGCATTTAGTCTTACACTGTTTTTTTTTTTTAAATCACATTTAGCTGTCTATAGCTGAAACAAATATGATTTAAGTTACAAACGAAAACATACCTAACAAAGGGTGATTTTTGTTTCTCTTTCTTGCCAAATGTCTTTTTCCAAACATTCTGGGAAAAAGAACAAAGTGAAATGTATCTGTTAAAAATAGATTAGGAACAACTATCTTCATAAACAAATACTTTCAGATAATTAAGAAAGTACAGAGTTCTGAATAAAAAGGTTTTTAAAAACTAAAAATTTGGGGGGAGAGGGAGTAAAGAGGGAATATTATTGATTGTTCCAGGCTCAGGGAAGTAAATGAATGGTGAAGTACACAAAGAAAAAAAGAACAAAGATCTGGGTTAGTGACCTATTGCTATTCTCTTCCTGTTGGAGAACAGGATATTCACTGAAGAACTAGCTAAGAGCTAAACATAAAAGCTAAATCTCTCAGACACTAAGCCCTCCTTTTGTGTGTCTTATTTTAGCATGCCAGTACTAGCAGCATCTTTTTTTCCAATTTCATGTAATCAAAAACTTACTGTTCTGTAAGAGATGAGAATGAACCTATCACACAATGATACTCACATACATCTTCTGTGGCCAAGATATTCATATATCTTCCCTGGGTTGGAGATGTTTTTCATCATTTTCTCTGGGAGTTTCTTGAAGTTGTAAGCAGGTAGCATGGATCTTAGATATGTTATCTCATCACAGGACACCAAACCTGGATAAGCAGTTATCATTCTGGCCGCAAGACTCACTTTTGGACCAATAACTGTGTCAGAAAGACAGGTGGAGAATTTTTGGACCATGTCTTCCACCTTCCTCCCTTAACTCACAAAGATAACAGTCCAATGTCCTATTCTACCTGTATATTCGTGTCTTGCTACTGCTCCAACCACGCCACAGAATACTGGTCCATTGGTGATACTGATGGAAACAAGTCTAGGGATCAGAAAAGCAATAATGGATAAACATACAGTCAGAAGCCTCCAAGTCAGGCACTAGATCTGCCGCTCCCTAGATCCAGAAGTCTAGTTTTAGAGCTTAGAGCTTAGAATGGAAAATGCCAGAGGTTGCTGTCAGTCTATATAACATGAGGGGTACAAAGTACTGAATATTACGGAGAGAACCAAAAGAAACAGAATGGTTCCCCTAATTCAGGAGTTTTAGTTTTAGTTGGGGGTTATAATTAGTAAAATATTTTTTCTTTTTTTGACAGGGTCTTGCTCTATCACCCAGGCTGGAGCGCATTGGTGCAATCTCAGTTCACTGCAACCTCCGTTTCCTGGGCTCAAGTGATCCTCCCACCTCAGCGTCCCAAGTAGCTGAGACTACAGGCACAGACCTCCACATCCAACTAAATTTTTTTTTAATTTTTGGGAGAGATAGGGTTTCATTAGTTGTCCAGGCTGGTCTCAAACTACCGGGCTCAGGCAATACACCCGTCTTGGTCTCCCAAAGCACTGGGATTACAGGTGTGAGCCACCACACCTGGCCAGTAAAAAATTTTAAAAAATTTTACATCTGGGCCAGGCGCAGTGGCTCATGCCTGTAATCCCAGCACTTTGGGAGGCCGAGGCAGGTGGATCACAAGGTCAGGAGATCGAGACCATCCTGGCTAACACTGTGAAACCCTGTCTCTACTAAAAATACAAAAAATTAGCCGGGCGTGGTGGCAGATGCCTGTAGTCCCAGCTATGCAGGAGGATGGCATGAACCCAGGAGGCGGAGCTTGCAGTGAGTGGAGATCATGCCACTGCACTCCAGCCTGGGTGACAGAGCGAGACTCCATCTAAAAAAAAAAAAAAAAATTTACATCTGTGGTAAGGCAAATATTTAAATACCACTTGAGAAAAAAAAATTGAAGGGGTTAACTTTCCCAGAGTTATATAGCAAAAGCCAACAGTAGAGTCAGAATGAGAATCCAGGCCTCTTGCCTCTTAGACTGATATTATTTTTACTATACCATGTTGCCTCAGATAAAACTGAAAAATGAAAGTAGATCAAGAGATATCAATACAGGGTTAATGGATCAAATAATGCTAGAATGTCATAGTTAAGGAATAATCAGAATGTCAGGACTGCAGACAGAAGGCTTTCTGAAGTAAATTTACATTTGGAACAAAATTTTTCTAATAAGTAATATTTTAAAAATTCATTCATGCATACATACATTCATTTCATTCACTAAGCACTGAGAAGTGTGCAAAGTACTGAGTATTTGGCTGGATGTTTAAAATATCCTGCCCTAGGCCGGGCGCGGTGACTCAAGCCTGTAATCCCAGCACTTTGGGAGGCCGAGACGGGCGGATCACGAGGTCAGGAGATCGAGACCATCCTGGCTAACACGGTGAAACCCCGTCTCTACTGAAAACACGAAAAACTAGCCGGGCGAGGTGGTGGGCGCCTGTAGTCCCAGCTACTCGGGAGGCTGAGGCAGGAGAATGGCGTAAACCCGGGAGGCGGAGCTTGCAGTGAGCTGCCATCCGGTCACTGCACTGCAGCCTGGGCGACAGAGCGAGACTCCGTCTCAAAAAAAAAACAACAACAACAACAACAAAAATAAAATATCCTGCCCTAGAGAAGTTAAGTTTGGGAAGGAGGGTGGTAGGTTTGAGGGAGGTAAAGAGATACTTATATATTACCAAGACAAATGCTCCATATTAGAGACTGATATAGCACATTAGCAGAGCAAACAGAACAGATGCACTAATTCACACTGAAGAGTAGATACAGTATTCATAAAGGAGAGGACATTTGGTTGGACCTTGAAAGTTGAAAAAACTGATAAAGTGGGGGAATGGTACTCTCTGGTGGGAAAAGGTAAAGGCTTTGAGATGCCTTGTATGGTCATGCAAAACTAAGTGCTTCAAGATGGCTACAGCATAGACATGAACAGAGGTGTTTGGAGTAGAGAGAGGTAATGGGAGAAGTAGTCTTAACTCTCTAGGGACGGAAGAGTATTAGATAAATGAATTATTTTAAAAGAGGGCATATACTGTTCTAGGTGAGGCAGAAGCCCAAAGGTGGCAAGGAGCAATTCATACATAACAAAATAAGTAGATTTACTCACTGACATGAAAATTTCATGTGACAGGTAACAAGATATGCAGGTGGAGAAAGATATGCAATGACGCATAGTCTCATATTTAATCTATAAACAATTTTCAGTGGTTCAGAGAGAACATGAAAAGTAGCAATCATGTTAACACTATTATCTCCTAAGCCATCAAAATTATTTGTCTTCCTCAAAAGACAGGATTAAGGGCTCTTGGCTGGGTGCTGTGGTTCATGCCTGTAATCCTAAAACTTTGGGAGGCCAAGGTGGGCGGATCACTTGAGGTCAGAAGTTCGAGAGTCCAGTCTGGCCAACATGGTGAAACCCTATCTATACTAAAAATATAAAAATTAGTGGGCGTGGTGGTGTGTGCCTGTAATCCCAGTTGAGGGATTCTGAGGCAGGAGAATCGCTTGAACCCAGGAGGCAGAAATTGCAGTGAGCCGAGATTGCACCACTGCACTCTAGCCTGGGCAACAGAGTGAGACTATGTCTCAAAAAAAAAAAAACAAAAAGTATCTTACCATTCATTGACTCAGCTCACTGCCCCCAGGGTGAAAAAAAGAGACACTTAAGACAAGAAGACCATGCTGTCAGTTCTGCTGCCATATGAAGAGCAAGACTGAAAATTTTTTAATATTTCATGATGCTTCCTCTGCCTAAATACCCTTTCCCATCTTCTCCATTTGCTGAACTACTTTTCTTCTCAACCTGTCTCAAAAGTCATCTTTATAGTCAAGATTTCTTTGGTGCCTCTGGGGAGAATTAACCATTTCTTCCCATAGCACATTGTTGTAACTCCTATAGCATTTTATTTCTGCACTTCGATTTCATTGTATTAAAGTTAGTTGTTTACTTAGCTGAACTGGTAAAATCTTACTTCTCTTTATGTCCATAGCACTAACACAGTGCCTGGCTCATAACTGTGTCCAAGGAATGCTTGTTGAATGAATGCATTTATGCATGCCAGAAATTCAGCTATTAACAAGTCAATCATGAACAAATAATACTTTTATCATTATTTCTTATTTCTTTCTATTATACTTTATAATTCCTCCTTGCTTTTCTCAGCAATCCATATTCCTTCTTTCCTTTAAAGCTTTTCTGCATTGATAAAGAATGTATTCTTTATTTGATACATGTAATTGTATATAAAGTATTTCTGGTACTGAAAAACCATAATAATGACATTCTGAGACTGCACTCCCTATGTCTCAAAAATATCCTGAAGAAATACTCAGGGAATCATCTTTCCTCTAAATGAGCTAAAAGCTGAAGCTATTTCTCAGATTAGAAAGAGGAATTCAGAGGATGTCTCAAAATGAACAGGGTCTTTGAAAAAGAAGACATGGAAAGTAGTTTTGGGTCTGAGAGCTGATGTGATGCAGAGAGAAATGAGCAATGGTATCTGCTACCGAGGCCATGTAGGTACCTCTGAAGCTTTAGCATCTGCTCAGCATTTCCAAAATTATCTTCCTTAGAACATTGGCTCCTCTGGATGTTTATAGGTCTTTCTGGAGAAAAGTGTTTGATGACCAAGTAAATTTGGGAAATGCTGACTAAAACTAAATATAACACATTTCTTTCCCATAACACTACTCAGAACCTTTGGTATGTTAATGTTCATTGTGAACCTTGAAGAAGGAAATATAATTTGCGACACTTCCCAGACATATTTGGTCATGAAAATCTTTTCTTTTTTCATGAGCATATTAAGGGATTAATAACATTCTAACAAACACACTTTGGGAGATACTGAATTAGTAATTATCTTCAAGGAAAAAAATCACTGACCTTGAAACTTAGCTTTGAGGCTTTGACATCTGTTTGACTTAGCAGCATAACCTTTCTGGATCTTAGTTTCTTTAAAGAGGTCAAATTTGATGAACTCTAATACCCCGTCTAGTTCTTAACATCTATTATATTCTAAACTAAATAAGATGGAAATGACCAAGTTACAGCCTAAGAGTGACAGAAGACATTCTTAAGGGCATTGTAAGACAGTCTCTAAAGGCCAAAGAAATGACTCTTTTAAGAGTGAGGGCCAAGGGTGGGACCCTTGAAGGCCACAGGGCAATACAAACTTCAAGAACAGAACAGACCAGCACTGGAGGGGATGGCCCATGTGATGGTTAATACTGAGTGTCAACTTGATTGAAGGATTGAAAGTATTAATCCTGCATGTTTCTGTGAGGGTGTTGCCAAAAGAGATTAACATTTGAGTCAGCGGGCTGGGGAAGGCAGATCCACCTTTAATCTGGTGGGCACAATCTAATCAGCTGCCAACGAATATAAAGCAGGCAGAAAAATGTGAAATGAGGGAGACAGGCCTAGCCTTCCAGCCTACATCTTTCTCCCATGCTGGATGCTTCCTGCCCTCAAACATCGACTTCCAAGTTCTTCAGTTTTGGCATTCGGACTGGCTCTCCTTGCTCCTCAGCTTACAGACAGCCTATTGTGGGGCTTTGTGGTCGTGTAAGTTAATACTTAATAAACTCCCCTTTTTTTATATATATATATATTCTATATAATATATAACATAATTATATGTAACTATATATATATATATGTATTAGTTCTGTCCCTCTAAGAGAACCCTGACTAATACTGCCCAGCATATCCACACTAGAGACAAGACTGGGAGGTAGGATGTAGGAGTATCTGCAGATCCCACCAAACCTGAAAGAAGTGTTAACAGTGTTAACATGTATTTGCCTTGGGCAAAGAGTATGAGCATCTATTAAGCAACTGTAGCATCTTTCTTATTTCTAAAATAAGGCTTGGATCAGATCATCTCTAAATTCCTTTCCAATATTAACATTCTATGAGTGTGTATCTATAATTATATCACATTAATAGCATATTTGATTCTTTTGGGGAGCATTTGCATTTTATAAGAGGCAGCTGGGGGATAAGTAATGAAACAACACTGGATTTGAAGACTGAAGATCTGGGTTTCATTAAAAGCTCTGCTATACGCTAGTAACTTCTCTTCTGTGACCTTAATTTCCTTAATGTATAAAAGAGGGGCTGGGCATGGTGGCTCACACCTATAGTCCCAGCACTTTGGGAGGCTGAGGTGGGAGATCACTTGCACTCAGGAGTTTGAAACCAGCCTGGCTAAAAATGCAAAAAAAAAAAAAAAAAAAAAAGCCCAGTGTGGGGCGTGTGCCTGTAGTCTGAGCTACTTGGAAGGATGAGGTTGAGGATGCAGTGAGCCGTGATTGTGCCACGGAACTTTAGCCTGGGAAACAGAGCGAGACTCTGTCTCTAAAAAACAGCAAAAAATAAAGAGGGATACAAATTTTCACATTGGTAGCATATACTAAAGTATTCTATAAATGTTAAAGCACTATTTACATGTTTGATACAATTTTTATCCATTTTGAATTAAGTTATGGCAAGCAAACCAATCTGATTCAATGTTAACACTGGAAGTAACTATTTTAAAAATTCATTCATGTACACACTTTCTCCATAGCTTTCTATTTTAAAAAGTCAATCAAAAACTTCCAACCAACTTTATCATAATGCAACTAGTGGGAAAATAGATTTTTCTATACCTTCATCTGGGTTAGGTTTTGTGAAAGGTGGTTCGGTGAGGGGTGGATGTGGAAGAGGGAGATCAGTTCAGTTTAAGGGCCAGAAAAGGCAATAAGATCTGTGAAAGACCCAGAATGAAAGCCAAGACAGCGCTAACCAGCTATGGTTCCTTACTATCTAGGTAATTTCTCCACAACTTCTCTCATACTCTCTCTTGTAGACAGGCAGCCTTTATTCTGTATCCTCTCCACAGGGATGTTATTTGCATCATATTAATTTACACATTTGTTTGTTCCTTTGCAGTGTTCTCGAATCTTGGTGTGTTTGTTCTGTTTCTCTCCTTTTCCTGACCCGCTGAATGGGAATGTATCTTTATTTCCCCTGGGTATTCAGTACAGAGATCTGTATCTGGTGATTTCTTAATAGATCTTGTTTGCTCACTTTCCTTAGCATGTTCCCTTCACATTAGGCAAATTCTGGACTACTTGAATCCCTGCCACTTGTTACTGCCTCCTACCCTGCCTGAAGAGCCCCTGGGGCCTGAGAAGCTCCTCTCTGCCCCACCTTCCTCCTTACTTGGTCTTAGCAGGATTCTCCCAGCAGAAGCTAAAGATGCTGAAGGAGCTCTCCAGGGCATGTGCACACTCGTCTGGCTTCTTATCACCAGGAAGGCCGAAAACACAGAGGAACATGCAGCCCTGGGATAGATGACAAACAAAGAAATGAGACACTTACCTGGGAAAGGAATATGGCTTGCCTAAACTAAACCAGCTCCCCCGAATGAACCCAGACCCTATCCTTGAACACTCTCCTGTTGGAAATATAGGATTCTACATGATTCATAAAATGGAAACTCTGGGCCACAGCAACATAGACTTTTTTTTTTTTCTTTTTGAGATAGAGTCTCGCTCTGTAGCCCAGGTTGGAGTGTAGTGGTGCGATCTCGGCTCACTGCAAGCTCCGCCTCCTGGGTTCATGCCATTCTCCTGCCTTAGTCTCCCAAGTAGCTGGGACTACAGGCACCCGCCACCATGCCTGGCTAATTTTTTTGTATTTTTAGTAGAGACAGGGTTTCACCGTGTTAGCCAGGATGGTCTTGATCTCCTGACCTTGTGATCTGCCTGCCTTGGCCTCCCAAAGTGCTGGGATTACAGGCGTGAGCCACCGCACCTGGCCAGCAATGTAGACATTTAAAAAATCTTGATTTCACTATTCAAAGAGCTGAAATTTAAAACACAAGAAAAACTGCTATCAAGAACTTTTCAAAAATTTAATTTCTAGTATATACCTTGAGCTAAGTCTATCTGCCCACATTTTCATCACTTATAACGTCAAGTATTAAGATTCTGCTTTTTTCCAAGATCCTTAATTATCTGAGAAAGACCTGATTACATTTACTTTACTAATAGAACCAGAAAAACATTCTTTATGCTTCACAAGGATTCTTCAACAAGAATTCAATAAAAAATGACATGGAGAGTAACCCTCAGTAACCCTGAAAATTAAACTAACAAGAACATCCCATTTCTTAATTAGCATTAGTTGAAGTTTTGATGTAATATAGCTTGTTACAAAATAAGTAGCAGGGAATTTGACTTACACTTGTGTTATGTGGGAGGACATCACTCCTCACTCACCTTTAATGCTGATGGGTCAAGTTCCCTTGTACTTACTTTCTCAAACATAAAGATCCGACTCAGCTGGCCACCCCCTTTCTCAATGACTGTGGAGATGTATAAGGCAGACTCCTGGATAAGATGACACAAATGCAACATCCACGCTGTCTTGTGGAACTCCAGGCTGACCAAAACCAGAGTCACCGTACGGAATTCAGATACATACTCTACAGGCTGGCCTTCATCAATCTGTAAAGACACATTGAATTACCTACCTGTATTTTCAACTATCAGCATCATGTTCAGGCATTTTGATTATGTATTTCATGGTATATATGAGAAAATAACTTAAGGGTCTCAGCAAAAACTTAAAAGAAATTTCAGTATAGAAGATATACAACCCAATGCACTTGGAATTAAAACTGACTAGGCAGAATTCACTGATGAAATCTGTCAAGATTTACTCTCTAAGAGTTAATTTGACACATCCATTAGTCATTACACTCTTACTAAGGAATTCACATATATGCATATATATATACAATCAGTCAACTTATATTTACCAAACATACACACTATACCCTTCTTACAGTGTACTAAATTGTTGAAGAACAAACTAAAAAACAAATATGGTTTCTACTTTCTAGGATTGAGAAATCTAGCTAAAGGTTTAAGACATGTTCATCACCATATTATGTTGGCACAGATGGGTAAATCTGCTGGAATTACAATGGGGTGCTGGAGATTACCTGGGTAATACAAAAAAGTTGTCACTTACAATTGTACACCTGTTTATATGCACGCGTGCACACACGCACACACACACACACACACAGACTATACGAGGATTCGAGAACTAGGAAATAACCTTCTTCAAAAGGTTTTTCATTATGTGTTTCCGCAGCTTTTGGTCAAGATCAGAGTGTGGATCCAATTCCAGTGCAGTTCTTAGAGTCTCTGAGAAAAGAAAACATAAAAGGTCCCTGGCCATGTGGAAAATTAATGTTTAAAATTTGGGGCTTAGGTAGAAAGGACAAAGTAACTTACCAGCACTTGTACGGTAATGTGGTAGATAATCGAGGCACTTGTCAAAATGCTCATCAAAATCAAATGGGTCAATGATCCGCATATCTCTTAACTACAGAAAGGAAACTGCTTAATTCTGTGCCCCCACACAAGAAAGGCTGAGGATTCTATCACCCTTGTTTGCCTTTTATCTCCTCAGCCTCACTGTTCTACCTCATCCATCTTCATAGGAGAATATTCCCAGCCTCCCTCCTAAATTGAGTTCCAATGGTCGTTGGTTTGGCCAGGCAATATGTGAACACTATCGGAGCATTGCCCTGTGTAATAGGAAGGCCTTTTCAGGATGTGAATAGATGAAGCTAGCCTCCTACCTTCACAGCTTCATCCTCCCTCATGATTTCCACTTCAAACATACACTGCTCGCAGAGCATCCAGCAGTTCCAGGATAGGACAATCTCATTTGCCTGAGCCAAATGCTGAGCTAACCGGACATCATCTACATCCCGCCCAATCACCAAGAGGTATTGCTGCCGCTCATCTCCAACAATAACCTGGGAAATCCGACCCGCAGACAGACCTATCCAGAAAAAATGAGATAAATGGAGAATAGTCAAACTCAATTGGGAAACTATGCAACAGGAGGGGTCTGGAATCCCCACATGGCTCTATGCATCATGCCAATCTTGTTATTGCCCTCAGCTGCAGAAGTCTTAGGTGAGCTAACCTTTAAAAATAATACCTTATGGGACAAAAAACCAAGCACTGCATGTTCTCACTCATAGGTGGGAATTGAACAATGAGAACACTTGGACACAAGAAGGGGAACATTACACACTGGAGCCTGTTGTGGGGTGGGGGGAGGGGGAGGGATAGCATTATGAGATATACCTAATGTAAATGACGAGTTAATGGGTGCAGCACACCAACTTGGCGCATGTACATATATGTAACAAATCTGCATGTTGTGCACATGTGTCCCAGAACTTAAAGTATATATATAAATATATATATAAAAAGAATGGAAAAACAAAAAACAAACAAAAAATAACAATACCTTACGACCAGGTGCGGTGGCTCATGCCTATAATCCCAGCACTTGGGGAGGCCGAGGCAGGCAGATGACCTGAGGTTGGGAGTTCGAGACCAGCCTGACCAACATGGTGAAACCCCGTCTCTACCAAAAATACAAAAAAAAATTAGCCAGGCATGGTGGCGTGTGCCTATAATCCCAGTTACTCAGGAGGCTGAGGCAGAAGAATCGCTTGAACCCTGGAGGCAGAGGTTGCAGTGAGCTGAGATCGCGCCACTGCGTGCCAGTCTAGGTGACAGAGCGAGACTCCATCTCAAAAAAAAAAAAAAAAAATTCTTCCCCCAGATTTCCTTCTCTTATATAATACACGTGGAGATGGACATTTTGTCTGTCTGGAGATGGTGAAGGAGAGTAGTGGAAGAAGAATGTACAAAGGGGCACAAGGAGACTTTTTGAGTGGTAAGTATGTTCACTATCTTTATTGTGGTGATGGTTTCAAAAGTGTATAAATATGCCAATGTATAGTATCAATTATCCTTAATAAGACGAAAACCAAAAGAAATGAAAGATGGCAGGACAAAAGAGATGCCATATAAAACAGAATATAATTCTTTACCACTGCTCCTCAAAACATAAAAGAACAGCTGGAGCCAACTTTTGCCCTTAAAGAGGTTTCTGAACCCTTGTGAAGGAGCTTTGTGTATTGAACTTCCCCTCCAATCCTGACTCTGCCGTTGGTGAAACTTTGGCCTCTGTATATAGCTTTTTTTTATTATATTGTGTTATATTTTTGATTCTGTCAAGCACTAACATAGTTCAAAAACTAAACTATAAAGAATATATATTTTAAAATCTTGCTTTACCTACATGCCCATCTTTACTATTTTCCTGATATTAGTAATTTTATTAGTTTCTTGTATATTTTTCCAGTGTTTCTATTTTCCTCCTTACACAGATGGTAGCATACTAAACACGCTGTTTTGTATCTTACTTTTTTTCACTTAACTATATCTTGGAGATACTGCCATGTCAAGACATCTTATTTTTTTTAAAGTTGCAGATAATCTTATTGAGTATACATATTATTTACTTAAACAGTCTCCTATAAATAAGTTGTTTTCAATGTTTTAAAATTACAAACCATATTACAATCAATAACCTTGCACGCGCAACATTTCATATGTGTGTAGGCATACCTATAGGATAAATGTCCAGAAGGATTGTGAGGTTAAGGAATAAATGTACTTGTAAGAGTAAATAGTATAGATGGTATGTAAGTGAAAACAAGACTTTTTAATATATATTTTTATATGGTTTAGTTTTTCTTGACATAAAAAGTACAATAAAGACAATAAAAATAAATATAATAAAGATTGCCAAGTCACCCTTATACCATTGTTCACTCACAGTAAGAAAAAGCTCATTCCTCAGACTCACCAGAGTACATTGTCCAGCATCTGAAGTTTTGCCTATCTATAGGTAAGAAAGGTAGTCAGTGTACTTCCAATTGGCATTTTTCTTATTAAGAATGTTGATCATCTTTTGACGTGTTAAAAGACATGAGTTTCCTTGTCTATATACAATTTACTCATGGCCTTTGTCCATTTTTCTCTTAAGAGTATTATTCTTGATTTCTAAGTGCTCTTTCCCTAGTAGAGCAATTCACCCTTTGTCTATATGAATTGCAAATATTTTTTTTCCCAGTTTATCATTTATCTTGAGGTTTTTATAGTGGGTTCCCCCTCGCCCAGTTGGATCACTCTTTTAGGAGGTACTACCTATCTTTAACTGCAGGTCCTGGCCTTCTCTGGTGTGATAGATCCCAAATTTCTCCTGTATCTCCAGACTGCATTTTGCCACCAAGGTAATGATGTCACTCAGTTGATTTTGTTCTACTCTCCAGAGTGCCAGGAGCATGTTCCCTGCAGAGACACAGGATAGGCTGACAGGGACCAAATATCTAGTCTTACTTGGTCCAGGGCAAAGTCCCAGTAACGTAGAAGATCAACTTGACCCAGTGTGGATATTATGTAAGTTATCAGGCAAGGTTTCTTGGTTATATACATTATGCTAGGTTAAAATACTGCTTCAGATCCTCAAAATCATCCAGTACATAAAAACATAACTAGGTAGAAGTTTAAATGATCCTAAGGATATTTTTGGTAATCTTCCTTCCACCAGTATACTAACAGAGGAGGAGAGGTACTAGCAAAAGGTTCATAAAAAGTGGGTTCAAGTTCATATCTAATTTGATGGCTGGTTTTATTATGTTTAAATAAGAAGACAGGCCAACTCCGGGGCATACAGCTGTTAGTGATCTTGAGTTCTCCAGATAGGACATGCTTGACTCCTCCCCATCTCATGCTTAGCTTCTGCTATTAATGACCAAGTTTCTCATTAGTTTTCTCAAGAATGCTTTATTGGCACTTATTTTGCTGTCCTTCAATCTAAACAAAAATGCAAAGCATGTGAGAGTTTAATTTGGGCAAAGCTTTTCCATTAGACTGGGGGATCCTTTGAGGCACAGACTATGTCTTCCTCATCTTGGTATCCAGTACCTTTTAATCAAACAATGCTGAATAAACCAATATGCTGAATTCCACCTAAATATAGTCCTCCTCACTCACAGTCTTTTAAGTATTTAGAAAAACTGAAAAAATACCTGTGATATTTAGGATATCCCCTCCAAAACAGAGAACATCTGAAATCAAGTAAGAAAGAGAGAGGAAAATGAGTCAAAATCAGATATAAACCAGATCAGGGAAGAATCATATATGGTCAAAAGAATGGCCTACTGAGTTTATCCTCATGTCATTCTTGTCCATTTGCTCACTCCAAGACTCAGGTTCCTTCTTCCTTCTAGTCATTTTCTCCCCAAATCTATCTGCACCTACATACATCTTTTCTAAAATGGAAGTATTCCTGCTCTCTTCAAAGCCACCCCATTTGTGATAGGAATCTTATCCCCTTTTACCTTCTCGAGAACTTCACACTGTTCCTAATCTCTCTACTGAAACATTCTCATCAATAGCAAAAAACAAAACCAAAACACACAAAAATAACCCACATATTCTTGGCTGTACCTTCTCTTCTGCCTATTAGCTCCATTTTTTTTCCTGCTATATTCACAACAAACAAAACCCCCAAATCTCAAAAAGTTGGCTACATATATTTTCCTCATAAATGTTTTCTCTGCCATTCTTTTTCTCAGCTTACTCCAATCTGACTTCCATCTCCACTACTTCAAATTATCAAGGTCATCAACAGCATTAATCTTGCTAAATTCAATACTTCTCTGACCTCACTGTACTTGAGAGCTGTCATTTTCAACCCAGCTAGCTGCAGCTTTCTTCTAGAGACACTACCTCTCCTTTGGCTTCAGGAACACCACAATATCCTACCTCACTGGCTGTTTGTAGTCTCTTTTTCAGGTTCTTTCTCCCTTATCATAATCCTTCCCTGGAGTTCCTCAAGCCTCAGCCAAAGGCTCTTTCTCTTTATTTACGCTCTTCCAACATGAACTCAATCGGTTCGTAAGTCCCACTTTATGCCATCAACTCACATTTTCATCTCTAACAGGGATCTCTTCTCTGAGCTCCAGGCTCAATCATAGCTGGATTCTCCAATTGAATGGAGTCATTCTCCACTTGAAAGACTTACTGGCATCTCAAACTCAACATATTCAAAACAGAACTCTTGATTTTCTTTCTCAATGTTCAGTCTTTCCTGTCTTGGTAAATGACATGATCAATTCATTTATGAAAGCCAAAAAACTGAGTCCTTTTTCTCACCAGTTCCCACTGAAATTTAATGTATTAGCAACTCCTGTCTGTTGAACCTGTAAAATATATTTCAGGTTAATCTACCCCACGCAGCTCCCCTGCCATACCTCTACACCAACAATCTTCAGTCTTGACTGCACATTGGAATTGCCTATGAAACTTTAAAAGATCTTATTCCTGGGCCAACCTCAAGAAATTCTGATTTAAATGGCCTGGGGTGAAGCTTAGGCATTAAGATTTTTAGTTAGACAAGGTGGACGGTACCTGTAGTCCCAGCTATTTGAGAGGTTGAGGCAGAAGAACCTTTTAAGCTCTAGAGTTCAAGACAAACTTAGCAACATACTGAGACCCCAGTCTCTTCCAAAAAAAAAACAACAAAATATAGAAAAAAGAATAAAACAATCAAAAAGCTCCTCAGGCAACCACCGCTGAGGTTGAGAACCACTGCTCTAGACCAAATCTCTATCATCTTTCCAGGACAATTGTCTCTTCCAGCTTCTATTCTTAAATTCACTCTCCACCAGCATTCAATCTCCACACAGTAGCCAAAATCAGTTTTAAAGTGTTAATCAGATCATATTACTCCCCTGCTAGACCTTTCCAGTTTTCCTTTATACAGAAATATATAATTCCAACTCTTTACTATGGACTACAGAGCTTGGTGATCTCATAGCTACCAACCCCCAACCTTGCCTCAAACCACTCTTCACCCTGCAAGCTACGTTTTGGCCTGCACTGGCCTTCTGTTAGCTCCTGGAGTGTGCCGAGCTTTCTCCTGTCTCAGGACCTTTGCACTTGGTATTCTGTCGGAAATGCTTTACCCCTAGTTCTTCACAACCTGTTCCCCTCATCCTTCATGTGTCAGCTTAAATAATACCTCCTCAGAGGAGCCTTCTATGACCACCCTGTCTCATACACTCCCCTATCCTAAAATTATTTTGTTTTTTTTAATACCACTATACTATGTTTATTTCCTTAATAGAATGTAGAAGCTACAATTATTGTTTACTTATTGTCTGTCCCACTAAAATGGAAACTAAATGAAGGTACTCTGTCTTACTTTGCCCTGTATTTCTAGTACCCAGCAGTTGCTGGTATTAGAGTACATACACGATGCAGAATTTTTATCTTCCCCTTCATCCAAACCTATGAGAAAAAGCAAACACCCTTCCATATGTATTCCTTAAGGATAAGAGGTAAGTCAAATAATCAAATTCTTAATGGAGATGCCACAAAGTAATTATTCTGGTGAATCTCAGAATGATGGATAGAAACATATAGCGAGCTGTCAGTAAAGGATGAGAATGTTACCTAAGTACTAAAAGGTATAAGGTCAGAGTAATTTCTGTTGGGTAGGTCTAACCAAAAAGTCCAAGGGTGGGTTCTTGCCCCGCCTACACCTATTACAGTCCATGTCACAGAGTAGGTACTCAAAACATGGGTACTGCACAAATGAGTTTTTTTCCAGATACTGGAAATTTGGCAAATATCTAAAAGCTTAATACATGGCAGAAAATAAGAAAACATCCCATTCCTTCCTCACAGGATCAAAATATAATAATAGAACAAAAAGATGTTTTATAAATTTGGTCTAAATACACACTTGAGATGCATTATTGTTAGAACACTTTATTTTGAAATAAAATACAAATGTGCAAAGTAAATTAGCTCCTCCTGCCCCACCTTTGAACAATGAGTCAATAGAATGTAAGACTGGGTAGAATGGCAGATAACAGGCAAAGGTCTAGCTTTTCAGTGGCAACTTGAAGAAACCAAAGATGAATGATGCTAAAGGAATGACCCTTTAGTACCTGTTTTAAAGTACTTCCGGCCACCTTCTTTTATAAACCCTCAGGAGCCCAGCACCACACCTTGTTACCCTACAATGATCACTCACGCTCCACGATGTCACTAATGTAGTAACTGAAGATGTGGGCCAGTTTGTCCATGTCACGTTCCGACTTGCAGGTCAGGCTGAACCTATCCATTAATGCTGTAAACCCTGACCAACAAAGCAGAAATTACCATGTTAACTCCAAATCCTAACTTTTTGGCCCCTTTCTCCCCACACATCAGCCTGGTATAAAGGAAACAGATCTCTTCAAGCTGAGTAATTCCTTTATCCATTAACATGGTGTAACTTAGAAACTACTAAGGGCCAGGTTGGTTGCCGCTGCCACTGGGAATCCAGAGGACCACCCTCTCTGCTTGCAGGAGCTGGAGATGGTGCCCTTTTCATCTGGAGCCAGCTCTTTCCCCCACCCTCTTAGGCAGCTGCCTGGCTATGGGAAACAACAGGATCCCTCCTCATGTCTGGCCAGAGAATCACTCACACGGTGAGGACAGGCACCTGGTATTATCCATCTTCATACCCCTGACACAGAATAAATATTTGTTAAATGAACAACTCTAGGAGTGGCTGCTACATAGCTACGGCCAGAACAATGGCAAGCACATACTTAACGACGCCAAGAATGAATTAATTGAAAGAATAAAATAACTGAAACAGAACGCTTAATAGAAATTGCTCGGGGTTGGGAGACACGGGTTCACAGCCCGCTGCGTGGTCCTGTAAAAATCCTTTCCTCTGAGTTTCAATTTCATCATCTTTGAGCTGAGCTCAAGGGCTGAGCTGGTTCATCCCAAAAGATGCCTTCCCACGCTAAAACGAAGACCCTCAAAGTTTCCTGCGGAAGCCGCGGGACGAAGTTAAACTGTGCCTTAGCTCGCGGGAGGCTAGGTCTGTAACCGTCGCGGCCTCCAGGGGCCTAGACCCAACGGCCGCTTCTCCCGCAGGTCAGGAGGCTTAAGTGCCGGCCATCGCCCTCACCCGTCACATGGACGCCTAGGAGGACTCCCTGGGCCGTGGCGAGCTCGGGTTCTGATCCCCTGGGCTTCCGAAAGACCAGTAGGTCGGGAAGCAGTGCCGCCAAGCGGGCCTCCACCGGCCACACAGGCAGCTTCCCATCCCGCCTGCGAGTCACCATAGCTGCCCGCCCAGGTACCGGAAACAGGGTCCAGCAGCGTAGCAGCCAATCCGCATGGCAGGCTCTGTTGGGGGTCCTGCCGCCGACCAATCCGCGCAGGCTTCCTTGGGGCAACGCCAATCGGAAGCGGCTGCAGTCCCCGCCCCACCACCTTCCCACAACTTTCGCGGGCCGAGTTCCGCGGGGAGAAGGGGCTGGAGGTGCTGCAGTCCGCGCTTTCAAAGGAGCAAAGCTGTCTTTTCTACAGGAAACAGGAGAGATGTAGACGCTCCTGCGGTAAAGCTGTTGATGTGAGATAAATATCGAGAGGTCTTTCCCCCATACCACAGAGTAGAATCTTGGGTCATCTCTGAATTTGTTAAGGATGGGTTCTACTGGCATAAATCTAAGCCAAACCTCAAGCACAGTTTGACTAAATCTATCGAATACTGTCAGTCCTTTTCCTTCATTGTTGTGGTGAGTTTCTCCTCTTATCTGCCAGGGCAGGTCTCCTGCTCTCATCATGAATGCTACCCGGGGCTGTTTGTCTCTCGTGTGTGACAATGGCATATCGGAGGCTTCTAGTCTTTGTTGCTTAGATTACCAGTGACCGTAAGGTAAAACAGTAACAAGGTGAGCATGCTGTGGATTTTTAACCATCAGAAAAGTACTTTTGTTTTGGTCTTCTGCCAAAACAAAATCTAACAAAATGTAAAAAGTACATCTTCACTACCTGTAATTCTAGAATACTTAATCAAGGCTGTTTTTGTGATAAGGGCTAATTTTCGTCACATTTTGATAAACACTTTCAGTAGTAGCATCAAATGTATGATCAGCCTGCAATTGACAGAAAATATCTCCTCAACAGGGTGGAAGGGCCAAAAGGGAAGAAATTAAGGGGAGATAAAGCTAAGAGGCCCAGACATTACAAGTTAGATACTGTTTACAGAGACACCGTCCATGCAGACATGTCTTGTTGGCAGAGGTCACAATTTCAACATTGGAAACACAACCTAGAACCCAGGAGTTGCAGATTCCCCAAAAGTCACATTACTTTTTGGTTATTTTTATAAATTTATTTTAAAAAATAACAATTGTGATGACATTAATGATCGATCACCTGTACACCCCCATACTGCTGGGGGAAAAACCTTCGATATAGTTGAGTCCCAAAGAAAAATCAAGACATTATTACCAGGCACCCTATAGCCACAAAATGCTCTGTTGGTCCAGTGGCATCGACACTGACATGTTCAATGTACCAGTGCAGTTAAAATATATACACTTTAAATTATCCTGCCAAAAAAAAAGCACTCAAGTTGCATAACTAGGCATTAAACCAATTATTCATTCATCCATTCACTCTTTCTCCATCTGTGAAGTCATCACTACAGTCACAAATAAAAATCAATAAAAGAACTAGAATCAAAGAAAAAATCCAAATGTCAATACCCTGCCCCCACTTTGTGGGCTACTATGGTGTGCTAAAGTGACCACAAGAAAAGGGTCATGAGCTATTTGAAATGCAATGACAAAATGACAACTGAAGCATTTCAAACAAAATTCAAACTCATCCCCCACAAATAAAAAATTCAGCAACAAGGTTGGCATTACTATGTACAAACTTACAGACACAAATAAATAGCATCTTCTAACTGTTGGCGGCTTAAGCACTCAGAGTTAGGTCTGAGTAATTTCTTTCTGAACTCTGCATCTTAGACTCCTAAATTAACCAAGGAATATAAATTCCTCATTGTTAGTAATCTATCCTCTGAAAAACTTGGGACTTACTGAATAACATTAATATCCCAAACTCTTGTAGAGAGCCAGAAGTTTCTAGTGAGCTTACCAAAGGATCAGCCCTTTGACATCTGGAAGCCAGGACAATTACCAGATCCCTGGGACTAGGAATATTTCACTTCCTGTTTCCTTTGCATAGCTCTGTACCTCTATTTCTATCATTACAATGATCTCTCTTTGTGGTGTTTTTAGAGGGCTTAATTTCTGTCTTAATACAGTTAAGCTGAAGTCAAAGAACCAATTTTTATTCTTGGTATTTGACCCCCAATGTTCCTCAGAATTATTGGGTTTTCCTTGTTTCCAGAGAAGGCAGCCAACTCTTCTGAAATATCATCTTAGTTCTCTCAGGGTTCAACATCTAAAAGAGAAATAGAATTCTGAGGCACAACCCATTCTGGGAACAGTGGCCCAGTTCCTGACCCTGCAGGCATGTTTCTTTCTAGTCTGCAGTTTATTCTCACAGTACGGATGCAATGAGAAAACCTTTCTGCACAAGGCCTATGGAGAAAACATGAAAACTGGCACCAAAGAATCAGCTGCCATGGGAAGAATGAAAATGCTCGCTTTCTAGGGCCAGCATTGTGCTGCGGGAGTGAAGCCAACATCCACCTCAAGCTTTAGTGGGTAACTTGGACTCTGTTCAGGACAGCGTGACTGATCAGTGCTTTCCAGAAATTGCCAAGGACCAAATCTCAGGCTTCTTCCTTTCAGTGCTTGTTAAAGGTTCTACAGTGTGAATTACTCTCTTCATCTTAATGATCCATTCCAGGTATCCATCCACTGGAGAATCGTGCTCTATGATAACATATGGGTGTACATACTCTCTCTCTCTCTCTCTCTCTCTCTCCCCCACTCTCTCCTCCTAGGATGAAACACATGAACCTTTCAGCTCCCCAAATGCTGTCACAAAGTCTATGATTGAAAATCTCTAGTTTGGCTCTCCCTTTAGGAGTACTACAAATGTCCTCAGTGCTTCAGCAAAGAAGTTGTTGAATAGTCTTGTTCTCTACTTAGGAAAGGCAGTTTCAAGGTTCAATATCCTCTACATTGTCTTAGAAGTAGCCACAGCAAGTACGATGGTCCAGATGACCAGTCAACAGAGGGACAAGCAGGCCACAACTTTTCAAAGCTAGAAAAAGAGATTCGGCAATGTATATTTTTAGTGCTTGAGGCTTTTATCATTCTATCCCCAGAGTTAGCTTTTTCTTGGCTAGAGTCCAGAAATACCAACCTACCATCTAGGCAGACAGGAATTCTTATTATTACCACAGATTAGAAGAATGTATCTCAGAAATTTATTGTTTCCATATCACAAGATAGAACTTCCTTGCTTGGAAGCCATCTCTGAATACAAAGCGTCCATTCAGTTAGTCAGTGTGAGATTCCCCCACCAGAGGGATAAATACTGTCTAGATTCCATGGGAAGGAGTGGGCTGCTGCTTTCCTGATTGCAGTTTTGGTTGAGAAGGTTGTTTTTCCCTGCTGAGATGGCTGGCTCACGTCACCAGTCAACATAAGTGCTTTGTGTACTGCTGGGGTGGCATGTGTCTCCTTGCATCATCCGAATCCATGAAATGTCAGTGTGATCAACAGTCTGAAATAGGTCCTGACTGAAAGAGTAAGACAAAGGCTTGCAACTTCAATTTGCCAGGCATTGCTGCAATTGTAATACTGAGCCACTTATGAAAAACTAAGTGGTTTCCGTCCTGTAGAAAAGGGCAGAATGTGATCGTCAATGTCCCATTGGAAGAGTTGATCAATTTCCTGGAACAGTGAGAAACTGGTGAGAAACATGACCTTGATCAGCTCCATCATATGGCCTGGGGTTAGGACACTCGGATGATCTGTGTCATTGCTTCTTCATCGGCTTGGTTTGGATCCTAGAGACAAAGATGACACGATAATTAAAGTCCTTTGCAAAAGCAACAGGACTGATGGCTCACTACTTATCCTCAAGAGAATACGCATAACTTTACGAAGTAAATCAAAGGCTTGTAATACATCTTAAGTCTGCATTCATGGCTTAAGTGCAGCCCCATTAGGAAAGAAGAGACAATAAACCTTATTCTTAAAAGAATTTGAAGTCTGGCCTGCGCTCCATGGTGAAACACTGGGAACTGTTAGTGTATCTCTTTCCTAAGAACCTTGTGTTGTTCTCTATACTTAAGGGTTAAGAGTATTCAGGTGGCTAAGGAAAAGATTCAGAAAACCCATGTCATGCTGTATTTTTGTCACTGTTTTTTGATCATCATTTAAATACTAAGTACTTAGCAGGGCTGGAAAGAATCATTAGAATCTATACACTTTAATGTACTCATTTTACAGATAAATCTGAAGGCCAGATGGGTAAAGTGATTTGCCTGGACTAGGGTCAGGGTCAGAAAGTTAGGAGCCCAGCAAGGGCTAACTCCCAAATCTCCTGACTCCCATTTAATCTTCTTTCCACTAAACTCTATATGCTGTTTCTCACTTAAGACCTACAGTGTTAACACAAGGATAAATCCTTGGAAGCTTTTTGCAACACTCCGCAAGAACTACCTTTAGTTCCCCCATACCAAGGCTCTGAAGCCTTGGTAGGCAGGATCTGAGAAAAAGCTGAAAGACTTCTGGAGATGGAAGACGGGAACTGGGTCTTGAACAATGAGCAAAAACAACTAGCATTTACTGAACTCACCATGCACTAGGTATGGTGCTACATAGATGCCTAATGTGGATTACTGAATGAAATCTCTACAACATTGCTATGAAGTATCAACAGTATTCCACTTTACAGATAAAAATAAAGAGGCTGAATTGACCAAGATCATATTGTTAGCACAAAGAATGAGGAGAGTTCCTGGCACAATGCCCTCCTATAGCTGTCAGGCCCACATTCATACACTGTATGAATGAACAGCAATGAGAAAGGAGGGGCTCTCACACTACAGGTGAGGACTAACAGCACTGAAAGAGTTGTTAGTGTTCATGTGTGTGGGGACACCGAGGAAACCTAGTTTGACTGTTGAGAGGGGTGATAAGGCAAAGTTGCTCAGACGTTATACAGAAATAGTTTGAGATTTGATGCAGTTAAGAAATGAGGAACTATTAATAGCATGCATTCTTGACCTGGGGACTGGCAGGTTAAAAAACACACTTTAACCATCTGGCAGTACTATATAAGGTCAATTAGAGGAGACTGGAGATTAATTTAATGGATATTGCAATAATGCAAGTGGAATGTGATGTTAATATAGAATGGAGTATCAGCAAATGGGAGGAATCTATTAATTCAAGAAACACTGATTGCTTGGTTCAGAACTGGATACCAAACCCAACAAATACATCTAAGTCAGTACTTAAATACAACTTACTTAAATAGAACTACGTCCAATAAATATAACAGAGAACAAAACAATCCTGTATCCTCTATACAACTTATAGTCTAGTGAAGGAAACAATCTCGAAAAATTCAACAACTTAATTATTATTACACTGTAAAGAAAAGGGCCAAGTGCAATGGTGTGCACTTGTAATCCTAGCACTTTGGGAGGCCGAGGCAAGAGGCTTGCTTGAGCCTAGGAGTTTGAGACCAGCCTGGGCAACAAAGTGAGACTCCATCTCCACAAAACTTTTAAAACTTAGCTGGGCATGTGGTACGTGGCTATAGTCCCAGCTACTCGGGAGGCTAAAGTGGGAGGATCACTTGAGCTGGGAGGTCAAGGCTAAAGTGCGCCATAATCACACCACTGCCTCCAAAAAAAGAAAAGAAAAGCTGTTGTAAGAAAATACTGAGAGAGAAGAGACCTACTCTAGATAGGGTATTTAATTAAACCCGGACCTAACAGATGGGGAGATAGCCATGAAAAAGATAGAGCAAAGGGCATACAGACTGAAAATTCTAAGGACAAAGGCCCATGGCAGGAAATAGACCAATGAACAGTAAGCAGCACCATAGAGACCAAGAAGTAGAAATGAAGTTAGACAGGAGCTGGAGCATGCAAGGCTTTGCTGGGCATAGTAGTAATCACTTTGGATGTCAGTCCAAGCGCAAATGGGAAAGGGTAAGTGTTGAAGGAGCTTGAGCAGAACAGTGACTTGATAGGATAAACATTTTAAAAAGATGACACTAGGATGTGGAGAGTAGGCTAGAGGGGGACAAGAGTGGAAGAAGGGAAACGAAATTAGGCAGCTATTTTATAAACCTAAGCCAAAGAAGAGAGGATAAGACCAGGCTCACATCAGTTAGAAGGGAAAAAAGTAAACATTCAAATTATATTTGTGATAGGGTAATAAAACTTGCTCAGTAAAAATAAAACTTGTTTCTTGAAAATTAAGAAAAGTGTGACTTTCAAGAAAGAATGGATAGTAATAACTGACAAAGATGAAGAGCAAAGAAAGACCACTGGATTAAAAACCTTTAGTACTCTTTCTTTTTGAGACAGGGTCTCACTCTGTCACTCAGGCTGGAGTGCAGTGGTGCCATCTTGGTTCACTGTAGCCTCAACCTCCTGGGCTCAAGTTATCCTTCCATCTCAACCTTCCAAGTAGCTGGGACGACAGGCATGCATCACCAGGCCTGGCTAGTTTTTGTATTTTTTTGTAGAGATGGAGTTTTGCCATGTTGCCCAGGCTGGTCTTGAAATCCTGGGCTTCCCACTTCAGCCTCCCAAAGTGTTGGGATTACAGGCATGAGCCACCAAGCCTGGCCTAGTGATTTCAAGATTAAAGAGACATAAGATTGCGTCTAGTTTAGAGAATGTGAGTAGTCCCAGAGTATGAAAATAGCAAGAGGACACTGCTGAAGTCTTCAACTCAAGTCAATACAAGGTAATAAAGAGAAGAATAAAAGGTATATGTATTCCTACCTGCATATGGGGACTATCCTTTTCCTTTGGAGAGAAAAATCGTCCACCTTCACCACGCTTCCGTGCCATGGCATGACGGTGCCGAGACTCATGCAGGTATTTCTAAAATGAGAAATAAAACCATTTAACTATTAATACTATCCAGAACCAGCACAATTATCTAGTGCACAAATTCCATTCTCCAAAGTTTAAGACAGCTGGGATCAAAGCCACAAGGGACAATTATGACTTAGAATGATGATGAAAGCTTTGGAGAAAACACCTAGTAAGTAAGATAGCTAACCATATATAATTAGTAAGAATGTAAGAATGTGAATGCTTACAGTATGAATTTTTTAAAAAAAAATAACAGATTACCACCTATACTTCCCAATATACCCTTCCCTCTGCTTTAATAACAGGCCAAATTTCATTTGAGCAAATGAGTGTTCAGTAAAAAGACTTTCCTAGCATTAAAGTTTATTATTATTATTATTTTCTAGAAACAGGGTCTCACTCTGACACCCTTGCTGCTGGACTGCAGTGGCATGATCATGAATCACTGCAGCTTTGAATTCCTGGGCTCATGTGATCCTCCTGCCTCAGCCTCCCAAGTAGGACTACAGGCATTTGCCACCACACCTGGTTGGACTTTCCTAGCCTTATCTGCATGTTAAGTGTGATCAGGTAACTAAATTCTGGCTAGTGAAAGGTACACGACTTCTTGAAAGTTTCCTTGAAAGAAAGGGTACCTGGCCGGGTACGGTGGCTTACGCCTATAATCCCAGCACTTTGGGAGGCCGAGGCAGGTGGATCACTGGAGGTCAGGAGTTCGAGACCAGTCTGGCCAACATGGTGAAACCCCACCTCTACTAAAAATACAAAAATAAGCTATGTGTGGTGGCGCGCACCTGTAATCCCAGCTACTCAGGAGGCTGAGGCAGGATAATCACTTGAACCTGGAAGGGAGGTTGCAGTCAGCTGAGATTGTGCCACCGCGCTCCGGCCTGGGTGACAGAGCAAGCCTCAGTCTCAGAAAAAAAAAAAAAGAAAGAAAGGATACCTTTCGTGTTCCCTTTCTTCCTAGGCTGGAGTCTAAGCAGGAATCTTGGACTATGAACAGCACACTAGCAATATTAAAGCAGTGAAACAGGTCTTGAGAACTGTGAAAATGTGCTGCCAGTCCAAGATAATTTATCTCTGGACTACTTTTATGTATGAAAAAGAGTAACATCTTATTTAAGCCACTGTTTGTTTTCATTGTTATAACTGCAGCTGCATACAGTAATAACAAATGCTAACTCTTACAAAAGAGATAAGTATCTAACGTCAATTTTTTGAAGGTACATGAGAAAACAAGCCATATAAAAGATAATTTCAAAAGTAGAACCCTGCTATTCTCCTCTCCTATATCCTTCCCAATGTTATACATACCCTTCTTTCCTTTGGAATTTTCCCTTCTGCCTCTAGTTTAGCCCGGGCTTGCCTCCTCTTAAGAATACGGTGGTATTGTTTGGCATTCACGTAGAGAGGCTCTTCTTCAAGCATCTCTGCTCCAGGTAGAGGGATTCTTTGGATAGCAGGCACAGAGCCAGCCCCAGGAACCATCTGTGTGAACAGGAAACCAGAGCTTATTGGTGGCATGAAGTATGGACATAGAGTTTCTTGGTTTCTCTTCATCCATTTTTTTCTAAATGCCACAAAAAGTAATTTGTATAGGGTACTTGGGTAAATGCAGATCCCTGGAGAAATTTAAGATCTGCACTTTAAACAAACACCCCAGATAACTGTGTCATAGGAGGTTCAGGTGCCACTCTGAGAAACTATATAAGCATGCCCTAATTCATGTCTACCCATGGCTGTAGATATTTCTGCTGCCATCTAATGGTCAGGAACAGTAGTCATAAGACAAAAAAACAGCACAAAAATAGATGAGACCAAGTGCTACCAAATGCCTATATTTATAAAAATAATTTAATAGTTAACTTATAGTTCAATCCTAATTTTTCTTAAAAAACACCAAAACACTGTACTAAATGTGAAAACAAGTAACAGAGTCCTGTACCCCACAGCTCTTTCCCAGATACAACCGCTTTGAATAACTATATTAATCTTTTATAAAAATTATGTATTTATCATTTAGTTCGTAGAAACAAGGTCTCGTATGTTGCCGAGGCTGAGCTCAAACTCCTGGATGTAAGCCATCCTCCTGGATTAGCCTCCCGAGTAGCTAGGACTACAGGTGCATGCCACTGGGCCAGGCTTGCTTCTGTTTCTTTTCATAGCTTCCTCCACCTCTGTGCAGACTTCTGTTACTCATTCTTAATCTATGCATTTTAACATCCTATTTTGACATATGAGGATTTAGCTTTCACTCACACCACCCAAGTCTTCCTATCTTCCCAATACATTTATATCATACTTTTTTTTTGGTTTCTCTATCAATTACAATCTTTCTAATTTTTAGCTTATTTCTTATTTCGTCCATCATGGGCAATACTACTTTCTACTTCTCAAAGATTAATATATTATTCCCTTCATTATTTGAATTCTGAAAAGAATTGCATAAAATCATTATTTATCCATTGCTTTATCTCCAGCATCTAGAATAGTCCCTGGTCCCTGGCACACAGTAGGTGCCCAGAATGAATTATGGTTTGTCATAATGTTATTGTAAAAGTAGATTACTGACTGCCTTAAGGATCGATCTCAATCCCAAGGTCAACATAATAAATTTTAGGAGGCATCAAGTTGCATGTTCAAGAAAATTTCGAAGACAAAGCTGAAAAATACATTTTCTTACCATGACCATCCCTCCTGAATTGACCACATTGCCTGCCACTGGTAGTGTCACAGTGACAGTCCCTTGCCCACTGCTGGTTGTGTTGGTATTGGCTCCTGTCTGAACAATCTGTGCTCCTGCCAAACTGGCTGCTGGGATAGTGATCATGCCTGAAACAGGGACTGTAACTTTAAGAAAACAAAACATAAAACAAACAAAAAACAGGCACACAGAACAGAAAGAAGGGAACATAGTTAGTCCCTCTTCTATCTGGTACACACTCACTGATCCTGGCAAAACACACTGAAAAACACAAGGGGAGAAAAAGCACTCTCCCACTCTGGTGTGCTATATATAATCCAAGTAATCACAATCTTTGAAATTCTATTAACTCTCTAGGTCCCAGTTTTGAGTAACTCTATCCTTAGCAGTTTTCAAAAGGTGAAAAGGTTTGGTGGTCTCTTCTTCTACAGGTCAGTCTGACTATAGCTGTACCTACTGCTCTTGTACATATGAGCAATCTGCTTCAGGACAGAGATTTTAAAACTTATACTTTGTTTATCTCAAACTGACAATGAGTCAGTTGTAGTATTAAAACTTAAAATTAAACCAAACATTCCAAGTCCCCAGACTATCAACAGCAGCACTTCAGGATTTGTTCACCATTCTGTTTGAGCTCTTGCCTGGGCTCAATCCAGTTCAGGGCCTCCCCCGAGTAATACAAGAGCACACAGTGCACTCTCTGGATCTTGTATATTGCAAATTTTCAATCACAAAGTCATGGAATCTAACAAAGATGTCCTTTTTCGATTTAACTATTTGACTAACAAGTGCTTCCAAAAGCCTTCAAGTTCAGTTTGTGCACTCCTCCTCCCAGACCAAACAGATCTCTCTATTATTTATGTTATCTATTCCTAGAACATACTTCCATGAGGGCCCTGCATTGTATTTATTTGTTCACATGTCTCTCTTACTAGACTAAAGGCTCTTTGAGAACTCTTCTAAGTAAAAGTGCTGTATGCGTAATAGTCATTTAAAGTAATGGAGTGACCCAGAAAAAAACATAAGCAGCAACAGCACTCTAAAGTCAACTTGATTTTTGATCTATTTCTCTCTTTCCCAATAAACTCCCTATTTCTAATCTTCTGTTTAGAAACACTTCTTCCCTAAAAGCTTACACAATCCCTAGATTAGCAACCACTGTAGAAACTGCTACACATGGAATCACTGTTGGTCATGGATGGTGACAAGAAACCAACAATCAATGGAGAGCTAGAGGAAATCTTTTTTTTTTTGTCCAAAATATATGCGGTGTCAAGTTCACCACTCAAATTCTAAAGGTATCAGTTGCCTAAAGGACAAAAAAGTTGCCCCAAGAAGTCCTAGGGAAACTTATGGGTACACTTACCTTGCTGGAGAATGGTGCCATCTGCATTAACTGGCTGATAGACAATGGTCTGCCCTTCAGCAGTCTGTGCCACTTGCTGTCCCTGGACAGCGATCTGCTGCTGTGTCTGGAGGAAATAAATAACGACCCAATTCAATAGATCCCAAAGATACTAACAAAGAACCATGTAGTCCTTAAAAAAAAAAAAATTATTTTTTTGGGACGGAGTCTCACTCTGTTGCCAGGCTGGAGTGCAGTGGCACAATCTCGGCACACTGCAACCTCCGCCTCCTTGGTTCAAGTGATTCTCCTGCCTCAGCCTCCTGAGTAGTTAGGATTACATAGCATGTGCCACCATACCCAGCTAATTTTTGTATTTTTACGGGGTTTCACTATGTTGGCCAGGATGTCCTCGATCTCTTGACCTTGTGATTAGCCTGCCTTGGCCTCTCAAATTGTTGGCATTACGGGTGTGAGCCACCATGCCTGGCCAAAACCAAATTTTTTTATGGTTTTCATCCCCTTTTCTATATACATGCTATACATGAAATATCTGACTCAAGTTATCTGACTCTTCCAAATCAGTTGTGCTCCTGTGTGACAGAGCTAGTGGAATTACCTGAGTCTGGCCAGCAGTGACGGCCGTCTGGGGCTGCTGGATGATGATCTGCTGTGTCTGGCCCTGCTGGCCCTGCACCTGCACAGCCTGTCCACCCTGGATCTGGATCTGTCCAGGTGGGACCAACTGTATCTGCAGAAAAGAACATAAAAAAAGATTGTACTCTACTGACACTGGTCTCCTTTGGTCCTGAGAGTTATCCACATTTCTCTAGAAAGCAGAAAATGTTCTGAAGAGGAAAAAAGAAGTCCTGCTCTGCCCTCCATTATGAAGTAGAGACAATTTATTTTCCATTTATGAAACAATCAGGGAATTTTGAACACTGTCTGGATACCTGATATTAAGAAATCAATCTCAGTTTTCATAAAAGATAGCAGTGGTATAAACATATATATTGAAAAGCATGTATATTTAAAATACGCTCTGGGCCGGGCGTGGTGTGGCTCATGCCTGTAATCCCTGCACTTTCGGAGGCCAAGGTGGGTGGATCACTTGAGGTCAGGAGTTTGAGACCAGCCTGGCCAACACGGTGAAACCCTGTCTCTACTAAAAATACAAAAACTAGCTGGGCACGGTGGTGCATGCCTGTAATCCCAGCTACTTGGGAGACTGAGGCAGGAGAATCACTTGAACTGGAGGCGGAGGTTGCAGTGAGCCGAGATCACACCACTGCACTATCGCCTGGGCGACAGAATGAGATTCTGTCTCAAAAAAATAAAATAAAATATACTCTAAAGTGCTTTATTATTATTTTTTAACCTTGCCATGAAGTACTTTTTTACAGAGGAAATAATATATATATTAAAAATGGTGACAGCCAGGCACAATGGCTCATGCCCGTAATCCCAGCACTTTAGGAGGCTGAGGCGAACAGATTAGGTCAGGAGTTCAAGACCAGCCTGGGCAATATGGCAAAACCCTGTATCTACTGAAAAATACAAAAATTATCCAGGCATGCTAGGACATGCCTGTGGTCCCAGCTACTTGGGGAACTGAGGTGGCAGGATCATTTGAGCCTGGGAGGCAGAGGTTGCAGTGAGTCAAGATCTGCACCACTGCACTCCAGCCTGGGCAACAGAGCGAGTACCTGTCTCAAAAAAAACAAACAAAGAAAAAACCCAAAATGTATTCTACCCTAGTCAAATGTGACGACTACAGCCCAGGACAACACCTTGATAAGGGGCTTGAGAGGACCTTGAAAGAATCCAACAAAGCTGTGTCAGGATTCCTAACTCACAGAAACTATCAAATAAACTTTTCTTTTTTTTTTTTGAGACGGGGCATCGCTCTGTTGCCCAGGCTGGAGTGCAGTGGTGTGATCTCGGCTCACTGCAAGCTCCGCCTCCCAGGTTCATGCCATTCTCCTGCCTCAGCCTTCCAAGTAGCTGGGACTACAGGCGCCCGCCACCACACCTGGCTAGTTTTTTGTATTTTTAGTAGAGACGGGGTTTCACCGTGTTAGCCAGGATGGTCTCGATCTCCTGATCTCGTGATCCACCTGCCTCGCCAAATGTTTGTTGCTTTAAGCTGCTAACTTCTAGGATAATTTGTTATACAGTAATAGATAATTAAGGCAGTGTGACACATTATATTCCTCCTATTAGTTTCCAATAACCTCACCAATACTTACTACTGTCATTAATGTTTGTCAAATTTTTGTTGATTTATTTTGTATCTCCTATTTGGTCCTAGGATTGGCTAGCTAAACCTTAGAAAGCAATTATGGAAAGCAAGGGATCATGTGCTATCCAAATCTATCTTCTTTCTTTTTTTAATGGCTATAGCCACTTTATTAGGAGTATTATCAAAAACCAGACAAGAATCTTGAAAAATATTTCTCTAAAATTTGGAACTAAAAAACTGCAGTACAACCCTTTAAATGTTGGGTGTACAAAATCCTATTTTCATATAACTAGTGGATACATTTTTTTTTTTTAAGCACAAAAGAGAAAGCAGTGAGGAGAGCCCCAGAGCTCAAAATTTCTAGTATTTTATATTCAAGAACACCTCCTAAACTTAAAAGCCGGAATGCATGGCTACTACTAAGTAACCTTTTCTTTACCTCTTTGACCATTAATTCCATCAACAAACTTTTTTTATTTGAGCATTGCTTCAACAGAGATGGCAGTTTGGAAGGAGGATACTTTCAGAAAGCTAGATTTTTATAGCCAGGTCACTTTCCATCCACAATTTCAACTTGGGACCACCTTGGTCTGGAAAGAAGAACATGTCTAGAATCTTAAGTTATCACAAAGTCTACCAGCTGATAGGAAAAAGGACTACTGATGGAAGGAAGGTGAAAAAAACAGGTCAATGGGTTCCACGTCTTAGAGACATTCATAGATCCTACTTTGTTAGGGGATAGATTGCCTAGGTTTTCTTAATTATTTTTTCCAAATACTTAGCTAATTGGCATTTAGAAAGTATTGGCAAATAAATAAGTAAACAAATGTATCTGGTTATGTGAACCAACTTCATTTCTAAGTTTATATTGGCTATTAGGATTTCCTCTATCTATTTATATTCTTTGCCCATTTTTCTATTTTTGTATAAATACATAAAAGTTATTTATACATATTCTGAATACAAACTCAGTTATATGTATTAAAAACATATTTTCCAAGTTTTCACCTTGTTTACTTTTATTTGATGTATTTCAATGCATATTATGTTTTAAAATAGTCAATTTGTTTTTAAAAAATCCTTCTCTGTAGCATAAAAATTCTCTTATAATTTTCTTTTGAATTTTCCAAGTTTACTTTTCTACAATTAGATCTTTAATCCACCTAGCAAATATTTTTTAAAATACAGTATGAAGTAGAAATCAATTTCTTTTCTGTATCATTCTTCAGCCATTTCTTCACTGATATGTTTACAACACTTTTATTATATGCCAACTTCCAATATTCTTCTATCTATTTCTTGGCTCTCTCTGGTTCCAGTGTCTTTCTCAGGCCAAGGATTTTAATCTAAAATTATATGCAGAATTTTTCATGAGACTGGACATCTGTACTTTTTCTTAGAGGGTGCAAGCTTTACTAGGATTCTAAAATAGAGAATACAATTCAAAAAAGGTTAAGAAGTACCCTTCTTTAAAAAATGGCTACGCAAAGAACACTAATGAGGGAAAACAAAAAACAAAAAAAAACTCCTATACAAAGGGGAGTAAAGCCTTAAGCATTATAAGGGAGGCTATGGAATCTCACCTAGAGAGCTTTACTTATGTAACAGAATATATTTTTTTCAGCTTGGTTAGTTATAGCCTTATTGGAAGCAGGGAAATAACTCTTTGAAGGTTCCTTATAGCAAAATAAAACCCCATAAAAATCACAGAATTTAGAGCTAGAATGAACTTTAGATATCATCTCATATAAATTTTATTTTTAGATGAGCAAACCAACAATTAAATAACTCGGCCAAGATCAGAATGCTTATTTAATGGCAGACCTGGTAATGAAAGCTGGATCACTACACTCACAGTATACTGATCCTAACAATACCACACTGTCTCTACTCAACAGTGGAGAAGGCGCAGCAAGCGGGGCTGGAGAGGAAGCAAAGAGAGAAGAACAGAAAGGATATAGCAATAGGGAATTGAGGAAAGCACATGTTGAAAAGATATTTAAAGCCTCATATATTTATGCAAGGAGAAATGTGAAAACTATTTTTAATCCCAAGTACAATTCTGTCTAGGCAAAAATATGCCAATGGGCTCAAATATGCCCTTACCGTTTACCCAAGCAATCCCCAATCCAAAGAAATTATCCTGAGAATTCAGTTGAAAAATAAAACTATTGTGCCCAAATATGTTTACCTACAAAAGCAAATGAAAACCAAAATCCCTGACTATATTTTATAAATTAGAAATTCTGATTCATCAAGGTGACTGAACATTATGAAAGGATTAAAAAACAACAACAACAACAACGAAAACACAACCCACATGCATGGTACAGTTATGCCCAAAAATTATGCATGAAAACACAAGAGAATACACAAAAAGTACAAGTTTGATTTGTGAGCAGTGTGATCATGGCTGCTTTTTTCAACTTAAAATTCCTTCAGAAAACTAAGACATTAATATGACTGCTATAACTGTTGAAACAATACAAAGATTTAGATAGAATAACTAATAGTTCTCTCATACTCCCTTTTACATGACTATAAACATATACTCATGAGGGGTTGGTCATGAATTACAAAGATGAGATCACACACTATTTCTCTGCAAATTATTTTCACTAAAAATATTTCAGTATTAACCCGCCCCAAGTCAACAGTTCATTTCTTTTAACGATGATGCAATATTCCATGTGAATATATTATGATTTATTCCAACCATTTCCTTATTCTTATTAATGGACACTCAGATTACAATTTTATTTTTTGCTAGTACAATGCTATGAAAAGTGTCTTTATAATTTCTCCCTACTATTGATGCTTTTCTTCCTATAGGACAGATTCTCAGAAGTGGGACTGCTAGCTCAAATGTTCGTTGTATTTAACAGATAGTGAGGTGCCTTTCCAAAATAACTCCACAGTTTGAAATTACCAAAAATAATGATAATTCTTTTTCTCCACATCCATCCTAGCAGTGGATATAATGATTTTTTTGGTTTTTTTTTTTGCCATCTTGATGAGAAATATCTAATTAAAAAATTTGATACCAGAGTTGTATGTAACATTTCTACATATTTCTGTTAATCTCTTCTTTTTTTCTTTTCTTTTTTTTTTTTTTTTTTGAGACAGAGTCTTGCTGTGGTGCCCAGTCTGGAGTGCAATGGCACAATCTTGGCTTACTGCAACCTCCGCTTCCCGGGTTCAAGAGATCTCATGCCCAAACCCCCCAAGTAGCTGGGATTACAGGCGCCTGCCACCACGCCCAGGTAATTTTTGAATTTTTAGTAGAGATGGGGTTTTGTCATGTTGGCCAGGCTGGTCTTGAACTCCTGGCCTCAAGTGATCCACCTGTCTCAGCCTCCCCAAATGCTGGGATTACAGGCGTGAGCCACCGTGCCTGGTCTTCCTTTAATCTCTTCTACATCTTTGCTTACTTTTGTTTTCTGTTTCTCAATCAGTCTTTCAACTGGATTTACCTGTTTTATTGGTCTGCTTAAATAATCTAGATTTTATATATCCTTTCTATACGTCAGTTTTCTACTTAATAAATTTGGACCCACTTTTTGCTCATTTTGTTATTTTTCTAACTTTCTAAATATTCATTTTTGTTTCTTTTAAAATAAAATATACTATAAACTAGATTCTAACCTCTTTATATACTTTACAGCAATTCAAGATCATGTCTAATATCTTGGTCTTTACTGGAGCTGTCCAATTTCTGCATAGTTCTAGTTTATATCACTGGTACTATAAAGGCAGAAAATCAACTGAATGCAAAATGTGGGTTAGAAAGCAGTTAAATGCATTATCAATTATCGGTTTGTAATAATCTATTCTTTGAAACCTCTCCTCTGATATACTGCTCAACATTTTTAAATACTACTCACCTGCTGCAAACCCTGTGTTCCAGAAACAGGTACTTGCATGATGGTTTGACCTTGCCCACCAGGGACAGCCTGGACCATGATGGGTTGGCCAGTTGATGTGATTAACTGACCTCCACTGACCTGCACCATTAATGGCTGCCCTTGGACCTAGAATGAAATAAAATAAGAACAATGAAATAACATAAGACACAAAATGGTTTTTACCAAAAGACAATCACTGGAACTATTCTGCTGTCTTGCTAGAAAAGGAAAAGGTAGAAAAGACTAAGAAAATATATGTCTTAAGTCCTCAAGTTATCTTTAAATATCTATGATACCTGTTACTAAATGCCAAGCTCAATACTTTAAGGTCAGACATAATGGAGAATATCCAGAGTCTTTGAGAAGTCTCAGTAGATATAAGGCATTTGTCACCAAACACGGGCTAAATCCATGACAAACATTTAATCATAATGGCAAGGTTAGTTGCCTGTTTAAATCAATCCAGGGATGGTCTCTGTGAAGGCTGGAGAGGAGGCAATGAGAGGGAAAGGTGATGGTGGTGATGGTGGTTGAGTACAAATTCTAAATAAAGTGAAGAAGGTAAATAAAACTGTACCCAGCAATGACTCCAGGAGGCTGGGTAGCAAGCAGCTCTGGAAGCTCATGTAGAGGATGACCCTTTTCTCCCTATAGTCTCTCAAGCTAAAATGAAATATCAAATGTATACCTTTACCCTGCTCATTTAACTCTGTGAATTCTAGATATGTGTGTTGTTTAAAGAGCTCACTACTAAAGATTTCTTAAAAATACTTTCTGGTCAGTTTGCAGTCTCCATGGTGGAATTCCTCACACTGGCCTCTATAATATCCACATGGTTATTTTAGCTTCGTCAGAAGCAACAACAAATATTGAAATTACACAGAGCAGTCAAGTGTACAAATTTCAACCTCCTATGAGTAAACAGACTACTGTAGAAGCCAGGTCACTACAAGTGCTCTGTCACATCTTAAGTCCCAATACAAAAATACCTAATAGAATGCTTTCTGGAAGTGCTTTAAAAGTGCTTTAGAAGTAAACTGGAATGATCCATGGAATAGTCCAAAACTTTCATTTTCAGATTCTATCTTTGACAGAAATTACTTAGAACAGAATATTCATGGCTGAAATATTCACACTTAACGTATGTGCAAGTAACAGCAATTAGTTAAAAGATCATTCTGTCCTAGATGAGTAGGTTAGATAGTGAGGTTCTCCTACAATCACCACCACCACCGCCACCGCCACTAATGTATTAAAATCACCAGGAATGCTGAAATCCTAAGTTTTGTTAAACTGTCCAATGAGAGCCTTTACTTTACTTTTTTAAGGACTTTACAGCCTGACTCTCTCATGCTATCTCCTTCCCTTATTTCCCCATTCCCTTTGCTACATCAAATGCTTGCATATTCTGTATCAAGAGAGATTTCTCAGAATACATGCAGCATGAATAACCAAAATAACTATTTGAAATTCTCCCAAAATAATCAGATCCCTAGAGGAAAGGTTTCTATTATTTCCATATTGTTTCCACTTATTTTAAATAAAATCTATGTAAGTAGGAAACACAAGTTTTAAGATACAACTATTAATAATTTTCTATCTATTCATCATCTTAATTTCCTCTCCAACTGATGTGCTATTCGTGCACATGATAAATGATTTGAGACTCCAAAGAGCTCACTGTATTTACAACAGAAAAATGTTACAAAGACACATGCATCAAACAAGAAGCCATACAGTTAAGAGCATGTTACATTCCTATTCCACAAGGGGTTAATGACAATCCAAAATACTGTTTTATATATGAGTAAGATGAAGCAAGCATGAAAAACATTAACAAGCTGTTGGACTGTGAGATTTGAACACAGTTTTGGAGTGCCTACAAGCTCAGTTTCTTTCAGCTTAATTTATTTTCAAAGTTGGTTGTATATCATTACCAAACACTATTGGTGGCAGGGGTAGGGGTGGGACTGAAAGGATAAAGTGAAGTGATAACAATAAGAGGTAGTTATCTGCAGGATGTTTAGCAGCACTAGCAATAAAGTGAGATGCCAGTTCTACATTCTAGATTCTACTTTGAATCATTTCCAATTCAATGGAGGGAAAAAGTAGGGTACCCAAATCTTGCCAATTTTTCAAAAATACAGTCATTTTAATAAAAGTAACCTACAGATACAGAGTAGACTAGTGCTCCTACTCCTGTTTCTTATAGGAACTGGTCAAATTAGAACCCAATTTAGGATACTTAACTTAGCCATACACAATGCTAAAGAACTGTATTGATTAACCAAGAATTATCACAGTGGCTTTTAATACCTAAGACTTACAGAAAGCATATCCTGCTTCTGCCTAACCAAGAGGTATCTGGGGTAATCTTTGCAGATCTAGTAATAAGACAGGTCACTATTTCCCCAGGAAAGGTAGTGAAAACAATAGCAGTTAACAAGAGATTAACAAGATTCAGTGCTTAGATAAACCTTGCCAAGTGTAATGATTATTTTTCAGTTGAGTTGCCCCTTGAATAAAAATAAAGCACAGCCTAGCCTAGCTTATGTGTGTCTATATATGTATATATTTCCTTCTCCATTATAACGCAAATACACAAAATTTTTACCATGCAATTAATTGGATCAGAGTTTGAGCCCTGAATAAATTCTAATGTCACTTATAAGAATTTCTTCCTGTCACTTACATCATTTCTTTTCCAGGCGTTCTCAAAGAAACATGCTAGTCAAATCCAATTCTCAGAAAGTTGATATGGGGTCTCTATATGACTTGGCACAAAACATTAGGAAACTGGCATCTTATAAGCCTCAAAGACAAGTTAGCAGCATCAAAGACATGCAACTGACTTTGCCATTCCTACTGGAGATCCTAACACAAACAGCACCAGACATGAGGAGAGGAGAAGTTCATGCAGTGCTCACAGAGAATCAGAGAGGGTACCACTACCTGGAGGGTCTGGACTTGCTGGCCTGAGGCGGATGCCACCTGGGCCTCAGTCTGCAACTGCACAGCAGTGACACCACCCTGCTGCTGAGAACAGGAACAGGAAGAGCTTGAAATATGTCAGGAAGGAAATGTGTAGTTCAAGACATGAGATCACCTTACCTCTTGGAGGAGAGGGAGGGAAGCCTGAAGGACTTTCAAAATGTACAGACTCCCTATACTGAAGCTGTTTTGTTGAAGGTAGTAGCATTAAAGATATTAGCCCTTTGTCTCTAGAGTGGACCTCAAAATGTGACTCAAAAACTCAAAACAGTTGTCATCATTAACACAAAGATTTGTAATGCAATCTTTCCCTCCAGAAACAGGAATCTGATACTTCTACTTACACAATTATTTAGTGCTCTTTTTATCTCCTCAAATGAGTTCACAAGAAAAAATGACTAGGTTTTAATAGCCCTGAAACTACCATAAAAAAAATTCTGGGCTTAAATGCAGTCACAAAGAAAGGAGAAGTAATCACTGTGAACCGAAATCATCTTCATGACGTCAATGCTCTTATGTCCCAAAACTAAGATTCTTTTTTTTTTTTTAAACTTTATTTATTTACTTATTTCGAGATGGGGTCTTGCTGTTTTGCCCAGGCTGGTCTTGAATTCCTGGGCTTAAGCCAACCTTCCTGTCTCAGCCTCCAGAGTAGCTGGGATTACAGGCATGCAGCACCATGCCCAGCTTCAAAACTAAGATTATTTCTACCCAACTGGACTGCTTTAAGAGCCATTTCAATGATTCAACCTTATTTTTACATCCACTAATGGCAAATTCTGAAAGAATAAAAACCCACCCTCCGGAGTACTGGTCTGAATGGAGGGCCCTTTGTGGAATCCCTTTCTCTAAAAAGGCAGTTAAAGGAACCTGCCAGGGCCACAGCAGCTGTATGGAAGGGAAAGCTATCAAGGGGGTTTGTCTTTTAATTAAGAGTAGCTCCTTCCTTTGATCATTAGATGGGAACAACTCATCATCAATACTTCCTTTGCTTTCCCTACTACCTTTCTATATTAGCTAAATTCCATTTTGAAAACAAAATATTTCCAAAATATCAATCTTGGCCTAAGGTCAAATAGAAGCATAATAAATTTCTTCTAGGGGTGGGAAAAAAGTGAAATTTTACTATAATAAACCCAAGCATAAAGCATCAGAAAATTTAACCTGTGTATAAATTCAAGAAAGCAATCTATTAATTAGGAATAAACCAGCAGCAGGGAATTCCTTTCTAATATGTGCTTATCCATAAGAACGACTGTCTAAGTATTATCCTAATGTTAAACCAGAGCTTTTCTGAATAAAAAATGTGGCAGACCAAATCAAAGAACAGAAGATTTCTTGGAAGCTATATTGGTTTGTCTGTTGTGGCCAAAGCCTTACTAAATCACAAGTTAGCTCAAACAAGAAGAGAAAAAGACCAAATAGAATCCAGAAAAATTTAAAAGTCCAAATTTCCATCTGAAAACCAGACTAGATGTTTTTACTTATAATGAGATAAAAGAGGCAATTTACTATAACTAGGCACCCATGAAGAGTAGATTCTAAGTGGTCATGGGCTAGACATGGCATTTCAGCACAAGCCATCAGACCCAGTATTTCACAAGATCTGGTACCTTTCAAATAATTCCCCAGGGAAATAGACCAACCAATTGAGTGGTGCTGTTATCAGTTTCATTGCTGTGATGTTTAAAGCCGTTTTACTTCCATACCTGCTGCTGAATCTGTCCTGCCTGGACAACAATCTGCTCTGTCGAACTATTGCTGTTTGCTGTATACTGCTCCATGGTCCCTCCAAGTGAGATTCCTGTCCGCTCTGGAGATCCTAGAAGGCTGTGAGGTACACTCCTATTAGAAAGGTGGGGAAAGAAACTAAAGTGAGATTGTCAATAAAGGCCTTACCAGACAATTAACCTGGATAATTTATCACTGTACTTTATTTGCAAGAAAACAGGATAAGAGAATAGGAAATGCTTATATTCATATCATTTTTAACTAGGATTATATGGCACAATCATAACATAGTACTATTTTCACGTTTCTAAAATGCTTTCAGTCATTTCTTATTGACAACCTTACCTTTCAATACTGTCAGAGCACTACCTGCACCTTAGAGATACTTATTAAGCTGCAACATCACTTTGATACAAGGCCTATGTAACGCTGATTTTCAGGTTTGCACATATACTTTAGAGAATAAAGGTTCTTTAAAGTTGTAACACATAATTGCTTCCCACCAAACAAGTTACTCAGGTCCACTACATATGGTAGCCAAAATTTACCCTTCTCATAGAGTTGAAGATCCGCTTTCAAAAATAAGGATACAATTAGATAAACTGAATGATATCTGAGAAGCTTATTAAAGACTTCATTAAACAATTAAAATGATATAAATTAGCAATGGGTAACTCATCCTGGAAATATGGGAGGGAGGACAGATATATAAACAAAAATGTAGATAGGTCTTTCCGATTTTTCAGTAGGCCCTCATAAATTCCAACATCTGAATAATAAAATGACGTGGCCTAACTGAGCTGCTCATTATAGTGGCAAAGCAGAGTACCACTCTCCATAAGTCCACACATGCTGGTGGAATTCATCATTTGCAAGGTGTCTCAAGACAGTCTGAAAGAAGAAATCAAAATATGTGCAAGTATATGTCCAGCTATTTAGAAAGAAGTGTATTGATACCTAAAATTTACTTTGAAATGCATCAAAAAAATGGATGAATGGGTGGAGAAATATCTGGTAAGGCAATTATAGTAAGATGTTAATAATAGACCCTAACTGGCAAGTATACAGGTGTTTATTTTCAAATTTCTTTGATTTCACTGCATACTTGAAAATTCTTATTTTCAAAATAAGAATTTTGGGAAATTCTTATTTCCCAAATGAATGTTGGAATGTTGGGAAAAATATAACAAAATTTAATCAAAATAAAAATTAATCAACCCCATTACTCATAATCAAAATGGATACAATATAAGAATCTATGAGCCATAAATAACAGGCTATGTCATCACAGCGAGAGGACTTGCGGCCATATGGTTCTCCAAAGCACTGCCCTTGATCTAAGGGAATGCTCACTAGGTAAATATCTAACTATAATTTGGATTTACATATAGATTGGCCAACAGGGAGCAAATATAATCAGCAACATGAACAACTGGTTTTCTGATTTTTACACCAGTCTCTTTGGAATTGGTTGACTAAGTCTGCTCCTCAGAGATTCTGGGTATAGAACAGAAAATCAGGTTTTCAGGCAGACTGTGAATCTGTTAGGGACACTAACAGCCTTCCCTAAATTCTATCTTGTCTCTAATACACAATACATTTATGTCTGTAAACTAATGAAATTAAGGTTATGATGTAAAAGAATATATATGATTCCATTTATATAAAATCTCCAAAAGACATCAGTAATCTAGAGACAGAAAATAGATCAGTGGTTCCTTGGGAGTGGAGAATACAGGGAGACAGGAAAGAGGGAGGTTGACTGGCATGGAGCCTTAGGAATATTGTAGGATGATGAAAATGTTTTATATCTTCATTGTGGTAGCGGTTGCACAGGTGTACAAATTTGTCAAAACTCATCAAAATGCACACTTAAAATTATTACACTTTGTATCTAAACTATGTCTCAATACATTTATTTTAAAAATAAGGATCATGAAAGGAATGTCTTTTAAGTTTCAACACCTTCCCAACTCCAAATTTCGTTCTTACATGAGATTTTTTCTTTGACTAATATCCAGAAGTTTACATCTTTACAAGACTAAAATATAACTTGAAGCACATGATAATGACTAATAGATGTAACATATTTTCTTCTTAACTAGTTTATCCTGGTAATACAAATGAACCAATTTAGCAATATTTAAATCTATACTTTGAAGAGTATAAAGATTTGAAGAGCAGCTTCAAATCTGGCAGGAATTCTCTCTCACATTTATGACAGTGATTTAGTCTGTATCATGATATTGATACTATTAACGGTTAATGCGATAAGCAACTGGCTTCAGTAAAGTCGTATGTTCCTACAACTGTGAGATTCAGTTAGCAAGACTGCAATACAATTCAATAGTCTTTCCCAAAGTACTTCTTTGCCCAAGATTATGACAAACTTAAGTTAGCCAGATTTAGTCTGTCTAGCTCTTGCTCTTAACACAAAGTTTTGAATGGTTTTTCCTCAAAGAGAGAGAAACAAATAAGAAGAGTGTTTATTCTGGCTAGCATGAAAATTATCTTCCTAGTGCATTCTCTTCTCAGTGTAATTCTCTTTGCCCCACTATTCCAAGGTGCAAAAGCTGAAATTTAAACAACTACTCACTAGGAACCCATTCTATGTGGACCTACACACACTCCAAAGCTAAAACCTTCAGAAACTCAACTAGTGTAAGCATATGAAAAGACCTAGGATAACCACAGCTGATAATCACTACCAGGCAAAGCCTAGAACAGTAGCTTTTTAACTTTTTTGATCACAACCCTTAGTAAGAAACACACTTCATTATCACAACTCAGTGCACACATAAAGCATAAAACGTAACTGAAACGAAAGTTTCAAGTATTTACCCTTATACAACACAAGATGCACTTTGATATTTTCTATTCTTTTTTTTTTTTCTTTTAAGAGAGGGGGTCTCCCTATGTCACCCAGGCTGGTCTCAGACTCCTCAGCTCAAAGGATTCCCCCTCTTGGCCTCCCAAAGTGCTGGGATTACAGGCGTGAGCCATCATCATGCCTGGCAGACATTTTATATTCTATTATTTTAAAATCCCCAGCATTGGCTCACTCAATTTCTTTCACAACTCAACAAGTGGGCCCTGATACATGTTGGATGAAAGACTAGACTACAACAAAGGGCTGTCCAGCTTCCCTATCATCCTACAGATTTCTGGATTGGAGCTTTCTAATGCACTTCTCTCCACTAACTATATACCATGTGCCAGACGCTGTTCTGAAGGTTTTAAAAATAAAAAGAAATCTCTGATGAAGAGTCTAACTTCAAAGAGTCTTTAAGTTTAGTAATGGAGTAAAAACCTATACTGGAATCCTAAGAGATAAAGTGATATGGGAATTTGGAGGACAGAGATTTGTTCCAGCTGGGGATAAATCAACAAGGCTTAAAAGAAAAGGTACTATTTGAACTTTTTTTTTTCTTTGCTGTCAGAGGCCTGCAGGATGAACTGGTCTTAAGTGTGAGAAAGATTTAGCTATGTGATGATGTGGAGGAAGGTGAAGTACTACAAATCAAGAGAGCATAAAAACAAGAACAGAAACATTTCAGTATGTGGGTAGCAGACTAAACGGGAAGAAAAGCTTGGGGCCACACTACTGTCTCTAGAAATGTCAGACAAAGAAATTCTTCTGCAGACTGGTGGAAGCTTGAAAGGTACTTAGCAAAAAAGTTACCAGATTAGAATGCCTTTTAGAAAGATGCCAAGCAAAAGTATTTAGTGATTTTGAAGTGACCAGAACATACCTATGTTTAAATACTAAGGTTAAAACATCTATTTCAGGCCAGGACGCAGTAGCTCATGCCTGTAATCCCAAAGTTTTGGGAGACCAAGATGGGAGGATGGCTTGAGCCCAGGAGTTCCAGGTTACAGTGAGCTATGACTGCGCCACTGTATTCCAGCCTGGATGATAGAGGAAAGCCCTGTATCCAAAAACAAATGAACAAAATTTCCAAAGGCAAACATACATGCTTTTTAGACTATTTAAGCCCTATCATCTCTTCTGCTAATGCGATAATGTGACAATCAAATGAATTAAGAAAATAATTTAAGCAACAATGAAAAACTCATCCTAAAAAGTGAAAATAAAACCTGTCCCCGAAGCTTCAGTAATGAAAGAGCACTGGAATACTGGAGTTTTCTGAAACCTACCAGTTGTATAGCATTAAATGTGAATTTAGAAATGGGCACCAGATACTGAAGACCTCTATGTGCCAGGGAATGCACTAGATGATTCACATGAGTAAAAATAATTTTCAGAGTCCTAGGACAAAAGTCTTCTCCTCTTCCCCAAAGAACTCAGCCACTATCACGGGGCAGAACCCATAAAACAAGTCAGAAACTTGTTTTTTCAATCTTATGAAAAAAATATAGCTCTAGATTCCTTCTACTTGAACCTCCATACAAAATAGTAACTGTTTCCAAAATATTCCTTAGCAAGATATACAAGTATTTTACCAACTGGACCTTTCCCCCCTAAACTATCACTACTACTGCCCACTTCCCTATCCCATCTTCCTGCCTCAGTGTAATTTGATTCCTCCGCACATGCTTTTCTTCTCTTCAAGCAATGCTCTTCCATCTTTCTTGTGGAAGAATTACCATCATTCCTCAAGGCCAGTCAAAAGTGCGGCGGTGATAAGCCTTTCACGGAGGCTAGCTCACGCATCGATACTTCACAGCACTGAACTTGGCCCCTTTATAGCCCTAACCGTTAGGTATTAACTACCTGTTCACCTGTCAATTTCCATCAGGTGGCACAGTTCTTATTGACCCCTACGGACTCGCTCCCCAACACATGGATTATACCTGGCATATACTGCTGGATAATTGGTTGCCAACAGCAACCTCTCACCCTAAGGAAAACCCCACTACACTGTTAAAGCTTCTAAACATCTGCTGAGAAAACGTTAACACAGCATTAGAAAGTGTATCAGAAAAACATAAACCAAGAGATGAGTGGACTGGGTCAAGCCTGATACAAAGTAACATAGAAAGGCGAAAGCAAAAACAAAGGAAAGAAAAAAAAAAAAAAAACCCGAAACTGTACTACATTTCCAACGGAGGGAGATTTCACAAAATGAGCAGTGGATAAGATTAGTAATATGAACAGCAAGTTGTGCAGCCTCTGGGAAAAAGAATGCGCAAGGGTATCAATCTTCTAAGAGTGAGGTTCCAGGCACCGAATGGACTAGTCTTACAGCTCCGACAAGAAAGGGAGACCGCTTGGTTGGACTCCAAGACGGAGGTGTGCGGTCCTGCCACTGCGAACGGGGCGGGGAAGAGAGGAAATGACGAGCCAAAAGGGGTGGTAACGGCGCCGGGCCGGAGACCCGGGCGGAGCGGGCTGGGAGGAGGGGCGCAGCGGAGCACGGGGAGTGGGCGAACTAACGGCCCCCTCTCCCCACCAGGAAGACAGCAGGGGCGGGCCTGTAGGGCTCCGAGGCGAGGGCGGGCCAGCCCCGTTGCCAGCCGCACTCGGGACCCCGCGGCCAGGGCGCGCACCCTCTCCAGGCCTCCCTCCCGACCTAGTGGGGCTGCAGATAGACAGACCCGGCTAGCGGGGAGCGGGGGGCCTGGGGGAGGCTTCCTGCCCCAAGGGCCGGAGAGTAGAGAGAGCAAGGGCAGGTTTAAGTTTGCGGCCAGAACGACCAGGAGGAAATCGCCGAGGCCCAGGGCGCGCATGTGTCCCCTAGTGTAGGGCCATTCGTGGCCCCGGGCCTGGGGCCTGAGAACATGGGCCTAAGAGTCGGGAAACGGGGACGCATTCCCAACTGATCCTGGCACCCGGCGAGGGTCGGAGCCCCGAGGTGCCTGCTCCCCGGGGCGCCATCCCCGCGCGGGGCGGCCCCTGCAGGCCTCGGCCGGGAGTGCCCCGAGGCGCTCGCAGGCCCCGGGCCGGGGCCGCTGGCCGCCCTGCTGGGCTAGGCTCAGCTCGACTCCCCGGGCTCGACGGGCGCCTGGGCCTCTCCTGAGTGGTCAGCGAGACCCGCCAATCGGGGCGCTGGGGCCGGCTCTGGGCCGCTGGATATTGGCTCCTCACACTCACCGTGCCTCGCTCCCCCGGTTCGCTGCCCGCGCTGATTGGCTCCAGTACCGGACTCCGAAACCCAATCAGAGGCTCCAGCCGCCGCCGCCGCCGCCACTGCCGCTGCCTAGCAAAATGGCGAACCCGAACAAAGGGGAATCGGGCCTCCCTCCAACCGCCTCCGCGCAGGCGCCTCTGAGACCACGCCCACTAACTCCAGTTCTGCGCTCGCCCCACCCCTTTGGAGGAGCAACGCGCAGGCGTTCCCTGCAGCCACGCCCGCCTTCCTGATTTGACACCACCGCCAGTCGAAGGAATACGCAGGCGCCTTCGAGACGCGCCAGATCGTTCAACTCAAAACGCTCCCTTGAGCTTAGTACTACGCAGGCGCTAACTAGCCCCTTTGCCAGCTGCCCACCCCTTTCCAAGTGGCCACTAGGACACACCCGTGCGGCTAATGCGCAAGCGCCACTTTTCCCGACTCGTGGTGGGCAGTTTCATTACGCATGCGCGGGCGGCGGCGGGACACCACGGAATTTACTGCCGGAAGTTCGGCGGCCTTCGCCAAAGAGTGTGGGCTCGGCTAGCAAGCTAGAGGGGCTCGTTTCCGCCCCGCTACCGGGCGGGGGCGGCCATCTTAGACGCGTGCAATTAAGGGCTTTGGTGGGATTGGCTCAGCGTTTGGGCTGGTCCGCTGCTCCCCACCTACCAGGGTCGGATCCGGAGCCCTTCCCCGCGGGGCGGGGACCTCCAAACAACCGACTCCTTTCCAGGTGAAGGGTGACTTGGGTACGTTGGGGCTTTGAGCGAGCCTCCCCGCACCCTCCCATAGGACCCCAGGACAGACCCTGCGTCCTCGCTGACCCGCCCTAGGGTAGGAGACAGAGAATGGGAGGCTTCTCTAGACTCTTTCCTTCTCCTACGCACCCCCCCATAAAAGTAGGGGGCTGAACGTTCCTTGAGAGGCGGCCTTCCTTTCCCCACACCTGGGGCTCAGCACGCCAGTACCTTGTACACTCTGGTTGCGGCTTACCGGGACTATGGCCAAGTCCCTTCTGTTTTTTTCCTAACCTAAACCCACTGGGGAACTACTTTTGCGTCGTGCACAGAAAAGGGGAGCGTCCTAAATCCGCCTTGCTCGGGAGTGGCCCTGGAGAAAGGAGGAGGCGTGTCTTGGGGATGGGCTTTGCTTCCGCTGACGGAGCGGGGCACTCCAGGAAAGCGGGAAATGAGAGCGGGTCGCTAAGCATTCTTCCTCTTTTTTGCCCCAGAAGAGTTTTGTATTACGTACCTGGGACCGAAAAAAACTCACATTCATCGATAAACGTTGGGGGAAAAAGCCTATTAAGCGAGTGTACAGGGCAATCAGAATATTATATACTAAGGCTGCCTAAGCATTTTTACTTCCTTTTCCCTTCTCATAGCTGAAGAAACACTTAAATTCTGGAAATAGCGACTCAGTATCATGGCCAGCAGCCTTAATGAAGATCCAGAAGGAAGCAGAGTGGGTAACAACTATTAACCTATTGGTGAACTGAAATTCGTAATCATGGAGGTCAAAAGCATAAGCACTTTTAAATTAAATTAATGATTGAATTATCTCTTTTTCTCGCTAGCTGATTTACTTAAGAAAGGCTCAAAATTCTAGGCAGGGATCATTCATTACTTTCCTTTTACACATGCTGTAATTGATTTGCCTTTAAATTAGATTGCAGGAAGGGGTGCCTGGAGAGGTAGTCGTGGGGGACACGAAATACAGAAAAATAACTTAGTATTTTTCTGTATCTAATAAAACTTTGTCTTTTCCTTTGCACCTTTTTTAGATCACTTATGTGAAAGGAGACCTTTTTGCATGCCCTAAAACAGACTCTTTAGCCCACTGTATCAGTGAGGATTGTCGCATGGGCGCTGGGATAGCTGTCCTCTTCAAGAAGAAATTTGGAGGGGTGCAAGAACTTTTAAATCAACGTGAGTTTTGGAAAGCACTTACCTGGTTTGCCCTGGCTAGAGCACCTTTTAATCTGTTACACTTTAATAAAGAAAACATGCGGGTAAAGAGGGGATTCCTAAGAACCAAATGTTTTTAGATTTTCCTCCCCAAGAATGGCCTCTAGTTTGGACCTTTATAATGATCAAACCTGAACTCCTGTGAGTTTTTAATCTCTTCCTCTTGTATCATAAAACTTTCTTGACGATATTACTGCACTTCTCTGAAACTTGAAATAACTGAGATGCTTAGTCTATAGGTTGGCATTCAAGATCCCCTCCTTACCAATATTCTGCTTTTTCTTCGAAGAGGAATTTAGAAACCTCTTCTTCCTTACAGACCCCTCCCATCACTTTCTACGGGTGACTTTAAACCAAAAATGTGCACTAGAATCCTATGTAAAGCTTCTGAAACAGTCTCTCAGACCACATTCCAGGCTTAACAGACTCATTGTCCACAGTAATTCTTAGCCTTAGACAAAAGCAATTCTTACTGCTTTGTATTATAGTTATTTGTAATGATGATACCGTCTCTGGATTGAAAACTCCGTAATAATTCCTTTTTTCTGTGTCTATATTCCTCTTAATGCCTTATACAGCTCTTTGTATGTAAAAAGATAATTATTGAGTAAATACACATTTGGCAAGTAAAAAACTATACATTATAAAACAATTTCAAGGCAATAGACAAAGTTTGTGGACAAATGAGGTTATATTTGAAAGTAGTAGTGGGATCAAAGGTGGGTTGTGAGGAGACATGATTGTAAGAAAGCTGTAAGTTAAGGAATATAGTATTTGGGAATGCTGATAAAAAGCAGAGTGTTTATGGGAGACAATAGATCTTCCGTATTCCCTTCTTCAGTGGTGAAAATTATTTCTAGTTCTGAAGTAAACTCAGATCTGTAAAGATTTTAAAATCTTAGAGATCAGTGTTTGGTTTTCTTTTTCATTTCTACTATTAAATAACTTTTTCTTAGAAAAGAAATCTGGAGAAGTGGCTGTTCTGAAGAGAGATGGGCGATATATATATTACTTGGTAAGATGGGCCAATTCCTTTTTTTTTTCAGGGCCAATACTTAATACATTTTGAGGATTTGTAAACAGATGGGCTGTACTACATTTGTGTTGATCATGAGGGTCCATTCTAGACAACTAAGGATGTCAAAAAGCTTCCATCTTATGACAACTCCAGTACAGTGATGGCGGCTACTTGGAGCACTGGGTTAGAAAGAAATGTGAGACTGCATCCCAGCTTTGTGGGAAATTCCTGTGCCATTTACCATAGGCCTGTTGTAAGACTTGGAAAAGTTAGGAATGCCTGCCATACTGTATTTCCTAGGCATTGTGAGATAAAAGCAATAATGTCTCAAAAGACAGATTTCCCAAAGGAGCTTTTCTCTTATTCCGTGTCAACTAGCACACTGCTAGCAAGCGGGTGAATAAAAACAAAATAAAATAAGTACAGTCCCAAATAATACCTAGCTCCTCTCCTAACTATTGCCTGAATGTGGGGTTCTTCGACAGTCCAGGATGGCATTTGGTTCCTGAAAGGGGGTGACTTCCTTAGTGGTGGTGGTGGGTAACTTACAGCTAACCCACTACAAGCCTGATCTGGATGACAAACTGAGTGGGGAGATGTCCTAGCCCCTTTGAATTCTGTCCTTAAAGCTTATGTGGCTTCCAGTGTTTTAACTTTGGGACACTACCAGTTTTTTCTGTTGTTTTATATAGAGAGACAAGAAGCAAGCAAGCACAGTTTCTAAATAAATAGAGGCTTTTAGCAGGGAATTTTCAGGTGGTATGCGTTCTTCCCTGTTATAGATATGCAGCTTATCTCTTGGATGTGGCACAGAGACTTCACTTACCTTGCTTAAAAATATTGACAATAGGCACCACTAGCTAATCTCATGGGTTTCCTAGGAAAAGGAAAGATTACTACGTGGCAGAGTCTGGGTTTCTCCATCTCTATTTAGTGGATTTTCTTGAGGCTCTCCCATAAAAATGTGCTTACTCTTTTACTTATCAGGATGTTGGGGCAATGTGATGACTTTTCTTTGGCTATCATTTTGGGATGATGAAAGTTTGAATTCTTTGTGTTCAGATTACAAAGAAAAGGGCTTCGCACAAGCCAACTTATGAAAACTTACAGAAGAGTTTAGAGGCAATGAAGTCTCATTGTCTGAAGAATGGAGTCACCGACCTCTCCATGCCCAGGCAAGGAAATCCAGGCCCTAAATGGAGATTTAATTGATTGGTGGGGTTTACTGTCTTACCCAAAGACAAACAAAAGCTTAACCCAAAATACAGATTTAAAGGTGGACAACAGTCAAAATTTTGTAAAACCACCAGTGAACCAGTTGTCTGGTCTTAGGCCAAGGCACAGCCATTTTCTAGCTTGAGTTGAATGAATCAGGACAGTTACCTTGAAATACACATCTGCCTCAGCCTGCTTAGCCGAGAGTGACCGTTGTCATTCAGCCACATTTGTTGAATTCTCAGCACCCTCTGCTTGAAGCTTGGCCTTTATTCCTGAAGCAATATGAGCTAAAGAATCAAGACTGAGCAATGGTGGTTTCCCTCTTGGACCACTTCCCATCTCCCAAACCTATTACTTTGTGTCAAGAAAGTTGTAAATTATCATTCCCTTTTATACTGCATGCTTCTTTTGGTCAGTATGGGTAACAGCCAGAGGTTCTGCCCCTGATGTAACTTCTTAGACCTTACCTATTGGGAACTTAAGGGAATGACATTGAGGGTTCGTTCAGTAGTCCCTTTACTTTCTTTTCAGGCAATGGGCCTCACCTCTTCTTCCTGTCACCCTGGTAGATTTGAGTCAATGCTGAGCATACATGCAATTTTGTCTCAAGCCCCACATTACTTTGAATGTGGCCTCAATGTCCGTTTACACGGGTCTTTGATATATTTATGGTGTATGTGGCAGAAACTATTTTTTTTATCACAATTCCTTACGGACTTAATTATCACATTCTGACATGAAATTAGCAATTTTAAGTCTCTTTTCCCTAGGGTTGTTGAGGATCACTAGAGTAACATCTTGGGAGGTGCCAGGTAGTAGAGTTTTATGACTGAGTTTATTCTCACCAGGGTGTTGAAAAGACCTTACTCCTGGATTGCAACCATTTTGCCATTTCCCAGCATTCCATCTTGACTTTTTTTT